CGCCACCACGCCCAGCTAATTTTTGTATTTTTAGTAAAGACGAGGTTTCACCTTGTTGACCAGGATGGTCTCGATCTCTTGACCTCGTGATCCACCCGCCTCGGCCTCCCAAAGAGCTGGGATTACAGGCTTGAGCCACCGCGCCCGGCTACTTTTTTTTTTTTTTTTTTGAGATAGAGTCTCGCTCTGTTGCCCAGGCTGGAGTGCAATGACATGATCTCGGCTCACTGCAACCTCCGCCTTTTGGGTTCAAGCAGTTCTCTGCCTCAGCCCCCCAAGCGGCTGGGATTACAGGCGCCCACCATCATGCCTGGCTAATTTTTGTATTTTTAGTAGAGACGGGGTTTCACCATCTTGGCCAGGCTGGTCTTGAACTTCCGACCTCGTGAGCCACCTGCTTTGGCCTCCCAAAGTGCTGGGATTACAGGCGTGATCTTCAGTGCCGGCCATTTTATTTTCTTTAAACCAGGAGACATTTGAATTGAGACAGGAAAGAGGAAAAACACTTTATTTGTAAAGAGAAAATGGAACTTAGTACACATCCCAAAATAATCCTGGGAGGCCACTTCTCTGAGCCCCACCTTGAGTAGGCTAAAGGGTTACCTTTGGGACTACAAACACAATTAAGAGGTACAAATCCACGAAGAGAATATGCATATTTTGTCTCCTTTCCCTCCAAAACAAGCTGTAAATACTTGTGTAAACATTTGTTGATTTGTAAAACATGTCTAGTACTGCAGAAAAATGTGCTAGGATGAAAGGAAATAAAGCCATGAAAACAGGACCAGGAGTGATGGCTCACACCTGTAATCCCAACACTTTCGGAGGCTGAGGTGGGAGAATCACTTGAGGCCAAGGAGTTCAAGACCAGCCTGGGCAACATAGATCCCGTCTCTCCAAAAAATAATTGTAAAAAATTACCCAGGCATGGCCAGGCACTGTGGCTCACATCTGTAATCCCAGCACTTTGGGAGGCCAAGGTGGGTGGATCACCTGAGGTCAGGAGTTGGAGGCCTACCTGGCCAATATGGTGAAACCCCTATCTCTACTAAAAATACAAAAATTAGCAGGGAGTGGTGTCAGGCGCCTGTAGTCCCAGCTACTCAGGAGGCTAAGGCAGGGAGAATTGCTTGAACCCGGGAGACAGAGGTTGCAGTGAGCATTGCACTCCAGCCTGGGTGACAGAGCGAGAGTCTGTCTCAAAAAAATAAATGAATAAAAATTAGCCAGGCATGATGGTGCACACCTGTAGTTTTATCTACTTGAGAGGCTGAGGCAGGAGGATCACTGGAGCCCAGGAGGCTGAGCCTACAATGAGCTATGATTGTGCCATGGCCCAGACTAGGTAAGAAAGTGAGACTTCGTGTCTTAAGAAAAAAAAAAAAAGCCACTAAAATAGCAACAAGACAGTTTACTTGGCTTGTAGGTCAAGGTTGCATTTGATGATAAATTCCCACAGTGCCTTTGGTCAAGGGGAGAAGAGAAATTCAGGAAGACTAGGGTTTGGGAGTTTTTTTCTCTTCTTTCTTACCCATAAAGCCATCTGTCCATTCATTCATTTTTTTTTTCTCTTACCTATAGCAAAACTGAAAGAGTCATTAAACTTCAGTTTGACTTTAAATTTGATTCCCAAGCTCCTCTAAATAGCAGCAGCTCTTAAATCCCAGCTCCAGCTTAGTGCTTTGCTAGCAGTGACACAGTGGGCGGGGGTGGGGGTGGGGGTGGGGGGGGAACCTAACTGGCAGAACCTTGGTTTCTCCATTTGTGAAATGAAGGTACTGGATGATAATCCTGGCTCTGCCAACTTCCCGGAGTTTTACCTGCTTCTTGCACTTGAAAATGGTCTCTGGTATCTTCCCAGTTGGTCTGGAATGTCCTGGGTTTGGGATTTGTTTTTTGTCATGTCCAGCATTTGTAGAAAAAGAAGATGCCCTATCTTCAAAAGGCACAAAATTAAATTTTGTTTCTTTCCTTTTTTTTTATTGTTTTTGAGATGGAGTCTGTCACCCAGGCTGGAATGCAGTGGTGCAATCTTGGCTCACTGCAACCTCTGCCTCCTGGGTTTAAGTGATTCTCCTGCTTCAGCCTCCTGAGTAGCTGGGACTACAGGTGTGCACCACCACACCCGGCTTTCTTTTTAGCAGAAACGGTTCTTCACCATGTTGCCCAGGATGGTCTCAAACTCCTGACTTCAGGTAATCCGCCCACCTCAGCCTCCCAAAGTGCTGGGATTACAGGTGTGAGCCACCATGCCCTGCCCAAAGTAGGTTTTGAAGGTGGAATAAATTCTTCTCCTAGCTCAGAAGGATCTCAACTTCTTGCAAGTTACTTTTTCACTCTTAAGGGCCCTTAAAGAAGTATTTGCTTAGCTCTATAACAAGGCCATCTCTGCCTCCAGGAAGAGCAACAGACCAGCAACTGACATTAAGGTCACACAGGCGAGTGTGGAGTAGAACTGCAGGGGTGAAGGCTCCAGCCAATCCAGACAACGGATCGTTAACTGTTTGGAGAAAACAATGCCTCAAAGGGTGATTGCACTGACTTGGGCTGGCTCTACATCCGTTCACACAATTGTTGAGTGCCTACTCTATGCCAAAGCACTGTATTTTTGAGCCCTGGGGGGCACAAAATTGAGATAGCTCCTGCCCTCAAGCTTAATAAAGTAGCTGTCAGTCAAGGGTTAGAGCAGAGGTTGGCAAACTACAGCCCAAGAGGGCACCTGTTTTTGTAAATAAAGTTTTATTGGAACACCAGCCACACTCATTCATGTTCATGTAGTGTCTGTGGCAGCCTTTACACTACAACAGCAGGGTTGAGCATTTGCAGCAGAGGCCATACGGCCTGCATAGCCTAAAATCTTTACTTTCTACCCCTTTACAAAAAAGTTGGCCAATCTCTGCTAGAGAAGAGATGACATACAACTAAGAAATTAAACAAGTGATCAAGGAACTCAAATTATTTACATAATACAATTTCAGAGGCTAGGGGGCTGGATGAATTTAAAAAAGCATGAATTACATGAAGCTTGATTACTGTGAAGAGATAAATCACCGTAAGTTACTTCTTACATTTAACATATACAATTTAACTATATGCACTGGTTTAAAACACACGCACACACACTTTCTCACACACAAAATGTAACACAAGCCAACTACTGATCTGGTATAGACGACAAATGGTGATCAGTTCCAACTTCTAAAGGAAAACTGGCTATGATAAGTTTGTATTAAAAAAGTCACTGTTGTTTATGGGTCATCTAAGAGATTTTTTCAAGGGTAATTTTACCTGCTTGATTGTTCATTTAAGGGTATGCACTGAACTTTGGAACTAACGCGTACATGAATTCATGCCTCCAAAGCAGTCAACACTAAAGTGTAGGCTGGGCACAGTGGCTCCCACCTGTAATCCCAGCACTTTGGGAGGCTGAGGCAGGAGGATCACTTGAGCCCAGGAGTTCAAGACCAGCCTGGGCAACACAGTGAGACCAGGTCTCTATTTCAAAAATATAATGAAAAGAATCTCTCTGCTGACAACAAACCCCACTAAGGTGTTGAAGGACTCATTTTAATGAACAGTAAAGAATGGTTTGGGCTGGGCGCGGTGGCCAAGGCGGGTGGATCACCTGAGGTCGGGAGTTCAAGACCAGCCTGATCAACATGGTGAAACCCCGTCTTTAAAAAAAAAACAAAAGAAAAGAATGGTTTTTATGTTATACTCTGCTTTTTTATGTTTTGACTTTTAAACAAAGATAAAGAGGCTGCTGCTTTAGCATTTAGGGTTGATCCAAGCAGTTTGTCTTTTTTTTTTTTTTGGTAGAGACAGGGTCTCACCATGTTTACCCAGGTTGGTCTTGGACTCGTGAGCTCAAGGGATCTTCCCACCTCCTTCCCACCTCGCCCTCCTCAAAGTGCTGGAATTACAGGCGGGAGCCACTGCACTCAGCACCTTTGCTATTTGAAACACCAAACGAAATCATACTAATATGAGAACTGAATTCCATTTAAAGGAAAAGCTCATTAAATAACGATCACCATTGTCTGGCTCTGGGGAGACTACTGAAATTAATGACTGTTTATAGTTCTTGCCCTCTTATCCTCAACAGCTTAGACAAAATCCCAAGAGACTGCTGCTGAAAGCGTCCTGCTGCAAATTACAAGAAAATCAGACCAGCTTCAAGCAGAAAATGCCAAGGACCAGGGCTGGGGAGCAGATCCGATGTAAAAGCATCCAGATGCTAAGAAAACACCCAGGAATACTGCCCAAGAGACACTGCAGTCACGTTGTAGAAGCTGCCACAGAGATGCCGAGTGCGAGTCTACTCGGAGGAAAGGGTCCGACATTCCAAGCCGCCGTCCTTACATGTAAAAAGCTCTGAGGTGCACCCTCTTCCACGCTAGCTGATGTAGGAGTTAGAGGTAGTAAATGTGTGCGTACAAAGTTCAAACCTGTCTTGTAAAGCCCACTGTAGAAAACATGCTTAAAAAATGGAATTCAGCTGTATGCCAGAAAATCAGTAGCATTATTGAAGGAAATTAAACTAAAAGTTTAGAAAACAGTCAATATGCAGGCCCTTCACCTTGGTACAAGGGAGCCTGGGTATTGTGCAATCTCACACCCACTGAAAAAATGCCATGCATGCCTCTAAATGCTCTGAGAAAGCATGATTTGCACTGAGTCACAGCAATACATACCCCGTGACTTAGGAAAGCCAAAGTGAAGTGCTTCATTTCTCAGCCCAATGTGCAAAACACAGGGCTCTGTGGGCCTGAGATTTCAGTCTACCCTGAAAAGTCTAGGAAGCAGAATCCTAATATTGTCCATTCAGGGCAAAAAGCACTTTCTTATATCTTGCGACCAAAAAAAAAATAAAGAAAGAAAGAAAGAAAAATGAAAATAGAACCACAAAATGGGCAGGCTTGATGGTTCACACCTGTAATCTCAGCACTTTGGGAGGCTGAGGTGGGTGAACCACCTGAGGTCAGGAGTTTGAGACCAGCCTGGCCAACATGGTGAAACCCCATCTCTACTGAAAACACAAAAATTAGCTGGGTGGGGTAGTGGGAGCCTGAGGCAGTAGAATCGATGGAACCTGGGAGGCGAGGTTGCAGTGAGCTGCGATTGCGCCATTGCATTCCAGCTTGAGTGACAGCGGGAGGCTCCCTCTCAAAAAAAAAAAAAAAAAAAGAACCACATGACGGTACATTGGTTCATTAGGCTGCCTTTTCGAGTCCCACTTCCCCAAAATACTGCCCTGAGAGACAGCTAGAGAGTCTCTGCTGGTAGCAGCCAAGTAGCAAAGACATTTTCAAGAGTCAAAAAATGAAAAAGAAAATTTGATTTACAACACAGTAAAAATGCTTCCCCTCCCCAAACTAAATAACTGCTTTTCTTTTTTTCTTTTTTCTTTTCCTCCTAGCCCTTTTGCTTGGGAGTAGCCCGCAGTGATTTTCCTGATTATTCCTCCATCTGGGCCCAGGCCTCTTCCGCCTTTTGGTAGTACTGGTTGGCCAGCCGGCCCTTCATGGCTTCCATCGCTGCTTCTGCTGCCTGGGTATACAAGTCCCCTGAAACACAGCAAAGGGGGTGGCACAAAGAGGTGAACCACCTGTTGTTTTTGCCAGCCCAGTGTCCCCATCACACTTCCGAGAAGAGCACCCTGAAGTGTCCATAGGGACTCAAATTACTCCTTGGGCATGCTCCCTCCAGGTTTTCTGGGTGAGGCTCTAAGGGTGGGCCTGTGATCAAATCTGGCCAATTAAAGTAAGCCATCTAAACAATAACTACCGTTTGTTTGGGGTATGTAGATGACTCAATTTGAGCCAATGAGAATCAGGCTGAGAACTAATTTGAGCCAATGAGAATCAAGCTGAGAACTTTTGCAGAACTAATTGGGGATGTGCAAAAGTGGAAGAAATAAAGACTATAAATAGCTTCATGTCAGCTAGGTCAGGTTTTACCACCCAGTGAATTTGTGTAAAACATACAAATATACTTCAAGTTTTTGGAGCTTCTTGGATTTAGAAATTTCAAATACAAGATTACAGATTGGCTGGGTGTGGTGGCTCATGCCTGCAATCCAGCCCTTTGGGAGACCAAGGCAGGTGGATCACCTGAGGTAGGGAGTTCGAGACCAGCCTGGCCAACGTGGTGAAACCCCTTCTCTACTAAAATACAAAAAATTAGCTGGGCATTGTGGCAGGCGCCTGTAATCTCAGCTACTTGGGAGGCTGAGGCAGGAGAATTGCTTGAACTTGGGAGGTGGAGGTTGCAGTGAGCTGAGATCACGCCACTGCACTCCAGCCTGGGCAACAAGAGTGAAACTCTGTCTCCAAAAAAAAAAAAAAAAAAAAAGGATTATAGATTTGCAACTCTTTCTTTTCTTTCCCTCTGTCCCTCCCCCCACCTCTCTCTTTCTCTCTCTTTCTTTTTTTCAGATGGAGTCTCACTCTCTTGCCCAGGCTGGAGTGCAGAGGCACCACTGCCTCTGGGGTTCAAGTAATTCTCCTGCCTCAGTCTCCAGAGTAGCTGAGATTACAGCACCTGCCATTATGCCTGGCTAATTTTTGCATATTTAGTAGATTTGGGATTTTACCATGTTGGCCAGGCTTGTCTCGAACTCCTGACCTCAAGTGATCTGCCCACTTCGGCCTTCCAAAGTGCTGGGATTACAGGCATGAGCCACTGTGCTCAGCCGACATTTGCATTATTCTTTGTTAATTTTAAAATATGACTTAAAAACTTTTAAAATTTAGCCTCATCCCCTATCTGTGAAAGTAGGAACTTAGCATGTTTCTTATACGTTATATCAGGTATCCCCAAACTACGGCCTGTGGGCCGCATGCGGACCCCTGAGGCCATTTATCTGGCCCCCCACCACACTTCAGGAAGGGGCACCTCTTTCATTGGTGGTCAGTGAGAGGAGCACAGTATGTGGCGGCCCTTCAACGGTCTGAGGGACAGTGAACTGGTCCCCTGTGTAAAAAGTTTGGGGATGCCTGCTATGCTGCGTCCCTGCTAGGCTCCCCATCCACAAATTCCTATGTTGAATTCCTCACTCACAGCGTAATTGCACTGCCTTTGGAGACATACGGTCTGTGTCTGAGTCTATTTTATGTTGCTATGACAGAATTCCATAGACTAGATAATTTATAATGAAAAGAAATTTATTTGGCTCACAGTTCTAGAGCCTGGGAAGTCCAAGAGCACAGCAGCAGCATCTGGCAATGGCCATGGTGCTGCATCATTCCATGCCAGAAGACAGAAGAGCAAAAGAGGTAGAGAGCAAGCAAGCTAGAGGGGGCCAAATTTGCTTTTATAACAAAGTTGCCCTTGTGATGACTGACCCACTGGCATGATAACAACATGAATCACCTCTTAGCAGTCCCACTTCTTCTTTTTTTTTTTTTTGAGACGGAGTTTCGCTCTTGTTACCCAGGCTGGAGTGCAATGGCGCGATCTCGGCTCACCGCAACCTCCGCCTCCTGGGTTCAGGCAATTCTCTTGCCTCAGCCTCCTGAGTAGCTGGGATTACAGGCACGCGCCACCATGCCCAGCTAATTTTTTGTATTTTGAGTAGAGACGGGGTTTCACCATGTTGACCGGGATGGTCTCGATCTCTTGACCTCGTGATCCACCCGCCTTGGCCTCCCAAAGGGCTGGGATTACAGGCTTGAGCCACCACGCCCGGCGCTGCAGTCCCACTTCTTAACACCTTCACAACGATGATTACATTTCAATATGAGTTTTGGAGGAGACATTCATACTTTAGCAGCCTGTGAGGAGGTGATAAAGGCTAAATGAGGTCATAAGGGTGGGGCCCTAATCACACAGAGCTGGTGCCCTTTTAGGAAGCAGAATAAACAGCAGAGCTCTCTAGCTCTCTCCCCACTTGCATCCAGGAGACAGATCATGTGAGGATACAGTGAGAGAGCTGTTGCCCACAAGCCAGAAACCAAACTGGCCAGCACCTTGATCTTGAAATTCCCAGCCTCCAGAAATGTGAGAAATAATTTTTTTTTTGTTTTTTGAGACAGGGTCTCACTCTGTTGACCAGGCTGAAGTGTGGTGATATGAACATGTCTCACTGTGTGTGCCACCACACCCAGTTAATTAAAAAAAATTTGTTTTTGTAGAGATGAGGTCTCCCTGTCTATCAACTGATGAATGGATAAACAAAGGTTGTATATCTACACAATGGAATATGATGTAATAAGGAATGAAGTACTGATACATGCTTCAACACAGATGAATCTTGAAAACATTATGCTAAATGAAAGAAGTAGACACAAAAAGCCATAAATTGCATAATCCCAGTTATATAAAATCTCCAGAACAGGCAAATCTATAGGGACAAAAAGTATAGTGGTTGCTAGGATTGGGGGAGGGTTGCTAACTGGTATGGGATTTCTTTTTGGGGGTGACGGGAATGTTCTGGAATTACATGGTGATGATGATTGCACAACACTATGACTACACTAAAAACTACTGGGACCAGATACAGTGGCTCACGTCTGTAATCCAAAGACTTTGGGAAGCCAAGGCAGGAGGATTTCTTGAGGCTAGAAGTTCAAGACCAGCCCGGGCAACATAGCAAGACTCTGTTACTACAAAAAAATTAAAAATTAGCTGGACATGATGGCAAGTGCCTGTAGTCCCTGCTGCTTGGGAGGCCGAGGCTGGAGGATTGCTTGAGCACAGGAGTTCCAGGCTGCAGTGAGCTATGACTGTGCCACTGCATTCCAGCCTGAATGACACAGCGAGAGTCTATCTCAAAGAAAAAAGAAAAAGAAAAGGAAAGGAGGCCAGGCATGGTGGCTTACACCTATAATCCTAGCACTTCGGGAGGCTGAGGCAGGTGGATCACCTGAGGTCAGGAGTTCAAGACCAGCCTGGCCAACATGATGAAACTCTATCTCTATTAAAAATAGAAAAATTAGCTGGAAGTGTGCCTGTAGTCCCAACTACTTGGGAGGCTAAGGCACGAGAATTGTTTGAACCTGGGAGGCAGAGGTTGCAGTGAGCAGAGATGGCCCACTGCACTCCAGCCTGGACCACAAGGGTGAAACTCTGGGTCAGGCATGGTGGCTTGTGCCTGTAATCCACCACTTTGGTAGGCTAAGGTGGGCAGATCACTTGAAGTCAGGAGTTTAAGACCAGCCTGGCCAACATGGCAAAAGCCCATCTCTACTAAAAATACAAAAATTAGCTGGGTGTAGTGGCACACACTGGTAATCCCAGCTACTCAAGAGGTTGAGGCAAGAGAATCACTGGAACCCAGGAGGCGGAGGCCGCAGTGAGCCGAGATTGTGCCATTGCACTCCAGCCTAGGTGACAGAGTGAGACTGTCTCAAAAAAAAAAAAAAAAAAAAAAAAAAGAATGAAATTAAAAGAACCCCCATGCCACTAAACTATATACCTTTTTTTTTTTTTTTTTTTTTTTGAGACGGAGTTTCGCTCTTGTTACCCAGGCTGGAGTGCAATGGCGCCATCTCGGCTCACCGCAACCTCCGCCTCCTGGGTTCAGGCAATTCTCCTGCCTCAGCCTCCTGAGTAGCTGGGATTACAGGCACGCGCCACCATGCCCAGCTAATTTTTTTGTATTTTTAGTAGAGACGGGGTTTCACCATGTTGACCAGGATGGTCTCGATCTCTTGACCTTGTGATCCACCTGCCTTGGCCTCCCAAAGTGCTGGGATTACAGGCTTGAGCCACCGCGCCCAGCCAACTATATACTTTTAAGATGGTGAATTTTGTTATGAAAATCTCAATTTTTAAAACTGCAAAAACCCCCACAAAGGCCTACTATATAACCATTAAAATGCCAGTGTTCATCTTCATACTAGCTCTATAAAGTCCCCTCCCTGGAGGAGGAGATTCAGCCTGTCATCTTGTCATAACTCCCAGTGGAATGGAAATTATGTCCCTCCCTGCCCGGCTCTGTCACACCCCAGGGGCAGGTCTGCTGGGCCCTACCTGATCTCTGCGGGTCCTTCTTCAGCCTGTAGCCTCCCATGAACAGCATCTCGGCCTCCCTGGCCAGCAGCATGTACCGGGGCTCATCTTGCATTCCATCGTACTCACCGCCCTCATCACAGTCCGTCATTTCCAGCGCAGTGTTGTACCAGTGCAGGGCCTCCAGCCAGTCTTGGCACCTTGCCAGGAGATACAGAGGGAAAGAAGGGGGAGGTTACCATGGCAATGGGATGGAGGGAGGAGGGCCTTCCAGCAGGAAGGGCAAGTCAGGGATCCCAGCAGGGCTACCACCTATGGTTCATGACCTATCTTGCCCAAGGCCAATACATTTATGAGGCACCTTTATATTGTAATATTCATTCATTCATTCATTCATTCATTTTTGAGATGGAGTCTTGCTCTGTTGTCCAGGCTGGAGTGCAGTGGTGCAATCTTGGTCTCTTGAGTTCATGTGATTCTCCTGCCTCAGCCTCCCAAGTAGCTGGGACTACAGGTGCATGCCATCACGCCTGGCTAACTTTTTGTATTTTTAGTAAAGACGGGGTTTCACCATTTGGCCAGGCTGGTCTTGAACTCCTAACCTCAAGTCATCTGCCCGCCTCAGCCTCCCAAAGTGCTGGGATTACAGGCATGAACCACTGTACTTGGCCAATATCAAGAGAGCAGTTGACCAGCCTGGGCAACATATAGAGACCCTGTCTCTACAAAAAATTTAAACAGTGACTATAGTCAAAAATAATGTAATTGTAGATTTAAAAAAAACTAAGAGTATAATTGTTTATAACACAATGAATAAATGCTTGAGGTGATGGATACCCCATTTACCCTGATGCTATTATTACACACTCCATGACCATATCAAAACTCATGTAACCCATATATACACTTACTATGTACCCTCAAAAATTTAAAAAATACAAAAAAGAAAAAAATTAGCTGAGTATGGTGATGCACGCTTGTAGTCCCAGCTACTTGGGATGCTAAGGTGGGAGGATAGCTTGAGCCCAGGAGTTAGAGGCTACAGTGAGCTATGATCATGCCACTGCACTCCAGATTGGGCAATAGAGCATCATGACCCTATGTTTTTTTAAAAAAACAGTCAAGTTGTTTTCCTTAATAAAATCAGTCTATTCCAATAATTTTCCAATAGATGAAAGTGAAGCGAAGCTTAGCTGGGACACCTCCTTGAGGAAGGAGCCTATTTTTATAGTTTGCACAGAGGCAGCCATGAACTAGCATTAGCAATATCTGAGTGTCCAAGCTAACCTGCCTTCTGACTTGTAGTAGTGGACTGGGGGCGGGGTCTTCTGCAGAGGCCTCCAGAGCCAACTGCACATTTGGCCCCACTGTATGCTCTGCTGTGCCAGCCAGCTGTGATTTGCCTCCAGCACAATGCAGAGCTCACCCCAGAATAGCCAAGTCTGCTCTTCCAGCTCTGCCCTCGACCCTCAACTCTTCCTACTGTAGCTTGTATGGGACCAAACCAGCCAGGGCACACACTGGTTCCAGCCAAACCCATGCACCACAGAATACACAGCAGGGCAGGGGGCCTTTTTCTTTGGGTATAATCCATGTGAGTAACTATTTATAGTGTATCAGGAAAGAGCAAATACAGCGACACAGATAAGGGGGGCTGTGGGTCTCATGAAACATTCTAGGAGCAAAAGGTCTGGTGACTTGCTGTCCCTGCCTTGCTGCCACGGTGCTCTCTGAGGGCCTGTCTGACAGGCTCTGCCCTCCAGGACTGGCTCTTGTTCATCTCCCTTTGGACCAGGCTCAGTGGGCTGCTGTCCATTCCCCAAACACGCCCGCTCCTGCCTGCTCTGCTGTTCCCTCGCCTCAGAAGATTCTTCCTCCAACTCTTTCTGCACCTGGCTCCTTGCTCTGGTTGGAACATGTGTCCCCTCCAAAACCCATGCTGAAATTTGCTTCCCATTGTGACGGTATTCGGAGGTGGGACCTTTGAGAGGTGATTGGGCTTTGACAGTTCTCCCCTCATGAATGGATTTCTGCCATTATGAGGGGTGGATTTGTTATAAAAGGGTGAGTTTGGCCCCCCTTTGCTTTTTCTTTTTTTGATATAGTTTTACTCTGTTGCCCAGGCAGGAGTGCAGTGGCACAATCATAGCTCACTGTAGCCTCAAAGTCCTGGGCTCAAGGAATCCTCCCATTTTAACCTCCTGGATAGCTGGGATGACAGAGGCATGTCACCATGCCTGGCTAATTAAAAAAAAAATTTTTAATAGAGATATAGTATTACTAGGTTGCCCAAGTTGGTTTTGAACTCCTGGGCTCAGGCTTCAAAAGTGCTGGGATTACAGGCAGAGCTACTGCACTTAGCCTGCACTCCCTTCTCTTTCCTTCCCTTCTGTCACATGATAACACAGCAAGAAGGCCCTTGCCAGATGCCGGCACACTGATATTAGACTTCCCAGCCTCCAGAACTAAGAACCAACAAATTTATGTTCATGATAAATTCCTCAGCCTCAGGTATTTTGTTACCAGCACAGAAGAGACTAAGATACTCACCATCCCTTCAGTCTCAGCTCACTCATCACCTCTTCAGAGATTCTGTCTGCAAACACTGTTTCCTACAACTACTACTAAAATCTTTAATTCTCCTTATTCACTTGTTTAGCATGGTGTCCCATGATTAGAAGGTAGGCCCTATGAAGGTAGGAGCCCCTTGTCTGTTTTGCTGTATTTGCTGGTCTGGCAAACAGCACAGGCTCAATAAATGTCCAGTGAATGAAGAAATGTAAACAAGTGGCTGGCTGGGATGGTGCTCAGAAGATAACCTTGACTTTATCTTATTAAAAAATGGCCAGGTACAGTAGCTCATACCTGTGATCCCAGCACCTTGGGAGGCCTAGTTGGGAGAATCTCTTGAGCTCAGGAGTTCGAAACCAGCCTGGGCAACATGGCGAAACCCTAGCTCTACAAAAAATACAAGTTCATTGGGTATGATGGTGCATGCCTGTGGTCCCAGCTACTCGAGAGGCTGAGGCAGGAAGATCACTTGAGCCTGAGAGGTTGAGACTGCAGTGAGCTATGATTACACCACTGCACTCTAGCCTGGGTGACAAAGCAAGACCGTGTCTCAGCTAAATAAATAGATAAATAAATAAAAGTTAAATTTTAAAAAATGGACCATGTGAAAATTACTGGTGACATGCTCAACAAACTTGTTTTTTTTGTTTGCTTTTTTTTTTTTTTTTTTTTTGAGACAGAGTTTCGCTCTTGTTACCCAGGCTGGAGTGCAATGGCATGATCTCGGCTCACCGCAACCTCCGCCTCCTGGGTTCAGGCAATTCTCCTGCCTCAGCCTCCTGAGTAGCTGGGATTACAGGCATGCATCATCATGCCCAGTTGATTTTTTTGTATTTTTAGTAGAGACGGGGTTTCATCATGTTGACCAGGATGGTCTTGATCTCTTGACCTTGTGATCCACCCGCCTCGGGCTCCCAAAGTGCTGGGATTACAGGCTTGAGCCACTGCGCCCGGCTGTTTGCTTGTTTTTTGAGACAGAGTTTTGCTCTTGTTGCCCAGGCTGGAGTGCAATGGTGCGATCTCAGCTCACTGCAACCTCCGCCTCCAGGGTTTAAGCAATTCTCCTGCTTCAACCTCCTAAGTAGCTGAGATTACAGGTGCCTGCCACCACACCTGGCTGATTTTGTATTTTTAGTAGAGACAGGATTTCAGAATATTGCTTAGGCTGGTCTTGAACTCCTGACATCAGGTGATTCACCCATCTTGGCCTCCCAAAGTGCTGGAATTACAGGCGTGAGCCACTGCGCCAGGCCCAAACTTGGGTTTTAACACTGACCAGAACATACTAGACTAGATTATTTCTCTCCTTTCTGCCCTGACCCTCCCTGGTCTTAGAGGGCAAAGCAAAATTGACCTGAAAAAGTTAAATGTGAAAGACCTAATTGCTGAGCCTTGTCCACCCCAGCCTGATGCTATCTCGTTGGCAAGGGTGCCCATCCTGCCCTGGCATTTCTATTATCTTCTCCTTCCGCCTCTAATGGATGGTAACTTCTGGTGCCTGTATCCCTTAAATGCAACTTTGGGCCTACACAGAGCACTGCCTTACCCAGAGGTAGCCCTTAATCAATGTTCTTTGCATGGGAGGGGTTGGAACTGCTTTGAATAACAAAGAAAATAAGGAAATGACTAGAGCAGAAGCAATAAATATTTTTGATAGATTTTACTAAGTAAATATTAAAAACCAGTGTGTCCCAAACCCAGCAAATAATGGTCATTGTGTGGCATCTGTGCCCTCCCTCTATAGTAGACATATCTGAAAAAAGTCTTTTGAAGAGAATCGTGGCCAAGTGCAGTGGCTCACACTTGCAGTACCAGCACTTTGGGAGGCTGAGATAGCAGGACTGCTTGAGGCCGGGAGTTTGAGACCAGCCTGGGCATCATAGCAAACCTTTGTCTCTACAAAAAAATTATAAAATTTAGTCGAGTATAGTGGCATATGCCTATGGTCCCAGCTGCTAGGAGGCTGAAGCAGGAGGATCACTTGAGCCCAGGTCAAAGCTACAGTTAGCTATTATTACATCACTGTACTCCAACCTGGGTGACAGAGATCCTGTCTCAAAAATAAATACATGGATAAAAAATAGGCCAGGAATGGTGGCTCACATCTGTAATCCCAGCACTTTGGGAGGCTGAGGCAGGTGGGATCACCTGAGGTCAGGAGTTCGAGACCAGCCTGGCCAACATGGTGAAACACTGTCTCTATTAAAAATACAAAAATTGGGCTGGGCACAGTGGCTCACGCCTATAATCCCAGCACTTTGGGAGGCTGAGACGGGCAGATCACGAGGTCAAGAGATCGAGACCATCCTGGTCAACATGGTGAAACTCCGTCTCTACTAAAAATACAAAAAATTAGCTGGGCATGGTGGTGCATGCCTGTAATCCCAGCTACGTGGGAGGTTGAGGCAGGAGAATTGCCTGAACCCAGGAGGCGGAGGTTGCGGTGAGCCAAGATCGCGTCATTGCACTCCAGCCTAGGTAACAAGAGCGAAACTCCATCTCAAAAAAAAAAAAAAAATTAGCCAGGTGTGGTGGTGCACATCTGCACTCCCAGCTATTGGGGAGGCTGAGGCAGAAGAATCACTTGAAGCTGGGAGGCAGAGGTTGCAGTGAGCTGAGATTGTGCCACTGCACTCCAGCCTAGGAGACAGAGCAAGACTGTCTCAAAAATAAAATAAAAAGGCCAGGTGTGGTGGCTCACACCTGTAATCTCAGCACTTTGGGAGGCTCAGGCAGGTAGACTGCCTGAGGTCAGGAGTTCGAGACCAGCCTGGCTAACATGGTGAAATCCTATCTCTATTAAAAAAATAAAAATTAGCTGGGTGCAGTGGCGGGCACCTGTAATCCCACCTACTTGGGAGGCTGAGGCAGGAGAATCACTTGAACGCAGGAGGTGGCGGTTGCAGCGAGCCAAGATTGAACCATTGCACTCAAGCCTGCACAACAGAGTGAGACTCCATCTCAAATAATAACAGTAATAATAATAACAATATTATTAAATAAAAAATAAAGAGAAAAGTATACCAAAGGGTTAACAGTCTTAATATGTAAAGAATTTTTACAAATCAATAAAATCCTATCACCTCAAATAGATGTAAAAGGTTAACAAAGGCCAGGAAGAGAAAGCACAGATGCAAATACTCAGTGCCCAGCTCTAGGCCCTGCCCCATGCATGATGCGCTTTCCCACTGCACTCAATGGGCACCATATGTATACACTGACATTTGACCTAATACAATCATGTCAGTCTTTTTGTTTACCTCTCCTCCATGCCAGTAGACAGTACATTGGAGGAGGGGTGAGAAGACATAAGTTGGCTCTGCCATTTGCTCCAGATTGGACCATAAGCAAGCCCCTTCACATCTCAGAACTAGTTTAGTCACCCATAAAACGGAGCCCAAAATACCTGCCCTAGTCAGGCATGGTGGCTCACACCTGTAATCCCATTGGGAGGCTGAGGAGGGAAGGTTGCTCAATGAGCCCAGGAGATCCAGTCTGGACAATATAATGAGACCCTCATTCTCTACAAAAAAATTAAAAATTTAGCTGGATGTGATAGTACATGCCTATAGTCCCAGCTACTCAGGAGGCTGAGGCGGGATGACTGCTTGAGCCCAGGAAGTAGAGGATGCAGTGAGCTATGATCATGCCACTGTCCTCCAGCCTGGGTGACAGTGCGAAACTCTGTTTCTTTCTTTTTTTTTTCTTTCTTTCTTTTTTTTTTTGAGACCGAGTTTTGCTCTTGTTGCCCAGGCTGGAATGCAATGGCTTGATCTCAGCTCACTGCAACCTCCACCTCCCAGGTTCAAGTGATTCTCCTGCCTCAGCCTCCCAAGTAGCTGGGAGTACAAGTGCCCACCACCACACCCAGCTAATTTTTGTGTTTTTAGTAGAGACGGGGTTTTACCATGTTGGCCAGGCTTTGGCAAGACCCTGTTTCTAAAATAAAATAGTAAGTAGGAAAAGTCAATTAAAATCACCCATAATCCTTACAACTAGGGACACCCACTCTGACCTGGATGCTGCATATTCTTTCAGATTTTTTCTCAGGCAGATCATTACCTACATTGGCTACAGTGGCTGCCCCATATCACATGCCTTTTTTTTTTGAGATGGAGCCTCACTCTTTCACTCAGTCTGGAGTATAGTAGCACAAATCTCAGCTCATTGCAACCTCTGCTTCCTGGGTTCAAGTGATTCTCTTGCCTCAGCCTCCCAAGTAGCTGGGTAGCTAGTCTTATAGGCACCCACCATCACACCTGGCTAATTTTTTTTTTCTTTTTGAGACAGAGTCTTGCTCTATGGCCCAGGCTGGAGCACAGTAGCATGATCTCGACTCACTACAACCTCCACCTCCCGGGTTCAAGTGATTCTCCTGCCTCAGCCTCCTGAGTAGCTGGGATTACAGGCATACACCACCACACCCATCTAGATTTTTTTTTTTTTTTTGTAGGTTTAGTAGAGACGGGGTTTCACCATGTTGGCCAGGCTGGTCTTGAACTCCTGACCTCATGATCCGCCCACCTCAGCCTCCCAAGAGATTACAGGTGTGAGCCACCGTGCCCCATCCTAGTTTTTGTATTTTTAGTAGAGAAGGAGTTTCACCATGTTGGCCAGGTGGGTCTCGAACTCCTGACTTCAAGTGATCTGCCCACCTTGGCCTCCCAAAGTGCTGGGATTACAGGTGTGAGCCACCACACCCGGTCATACCACGAGCTTTATGTGCCGGCCACTGTGCGGGTTACAGGCATCATCTCATTTACCCTTCATGGGATAACCCCAGGACATAAGTGCTATAATTATTCCCAGTTTACAACATGAAGAAACTGAGGCCAGGGAGGTAAAATAACTTGCCCATGGTTGCTGGACTGATCATGGGGGAGCCAAGACTAGAACCCAGGTCTGTGCTGATACTGAGGGCAAACGCCCACCTGCAGCCCAGGTTCCCACCAGCTCCTCCTCGGGGACAGCTGCAGTACCTGTCTGGGCTGAGGTTCTGGCCAGTGTCAAAAGCTCGAGCCACTAGGATCATGGACTGCCTGTCGCCGGCTTCAGCGGCTTTCAGTAAGTAATCAAATCCTTTGGTTTTGTTCTCTTCCGTCTCCTGTTGATACAAACCAAAGAAGGAGAAAGAAAAGTGAATGAGGCTGGCACTCGAGGGCTGCCAAGATCTTGCTACTCAATCTTCACACTGTTTCTTGAGAGCTCTGGGCTGGGAGGCTGTAGAAGTGAGGGAGGAGGAGGGACTTGACTCCGGAGGCTTGGCTCAGATGCTGGAACAAATCAAGGACGGGCTAACACAGGGATGGGGGTGGGGAAAGAGCTTTTCATAATACACACCCACCAGTGCACCAGGTCAGTTTTCCACTGTCTTGTCCGGGCAACACTTGAGAGTTACTGCCCATTTCCACGGCTATGGCCCCACAACCTAGAAGTTACTACCCTTTCCCTAGAAATTTCTGCATAAACCGCCTGTTAATATGCATACAATCAAGAGTAGGCATAAATCTGACTGCAGAACTGCCCTGAGTTGCTAATCTCAGCACACTGCCTGTGGGGCAGCCTGACTCCACAGAAGCAGTCATGGAGCTGTACCACTGCCTAAGCTACAACACTGCCACTTCAGTAATGCTGTTTTTGTCTACCTTTGGCTCACCCTTGAATTCTTTCCGGGTGAAGCAAAAAAACATCTTGGGCTAAGCTCCAATTTGGGGCCTGCCTGCCCTGCATCAGAAGTTGACATCAGGACCGGGCTGGGTGGACTGGCCAGACTACACTCCAGCCTTGGTGACAGAGGCTCCATCTCAAAAAAAGTACACATCAGTAGTTTTTAGTAAATTCACAGAACTGCACAACCATCACCAGTCAATTTCAGAATACTTTCACCAATCCAAAAAGAAATTCTATACCGCCGGGTTTGGTGGCTCACACCTGTAATCCCAAATCCCACACTTTGCGAGGCTGAGGTGGGTAGATCACCTGAGGTCAGGAGTCCGAGACCAGCCTGGCCAACATGGTGAAACCCTGCCTCTACTAAAAATACAAAAATCAGCCGGGCCTGGTGGGGCACATCTGTAATCCCAGCGACTCAGGAGGCTGGGGCAGGAAAACTGCTTGAAGCTGGGAGGCAAAGGTTGCAGGGAGCTGAGATCATGCCACTGTACTCCAGCCTGGTTGAGAGAGCAAGACTACACCTTAAAAAAAAAAAAAAAAAGGCCGGGTGCAGTGGCTCAAGCCTGTAATCCCAGCACTTTGGGAGGCCGAGGCGGGTGGAACACGAGGTCAAGAGATCGAGACCAGCCGGGCGCGGTGGCTCAAGCCTGTAATCCCAGCACTTTGGGAGGCCGAGGTGGGTGGATCACGAGGTCGAGAGATCGAGACCATCCTGGTCAACATGGTGAAACCCCGTCTCTACCAAAAGTGCAAAAATTAGCTGGGCATGGTGGCGTGTGCCTGTAATCCCAGCTACTCAGGAGGCTGAGGCAGGAGAATTGCCTGAACCCAGGAGGCGGAGGTTGCGGTGAGCCGAGATCGCGTCATTGCACTCCAGCCTGGGTAACAAGAGCGAAAGAAACTCCGTCTCAAAAAAAAAAAAAAAAAAAAGGCTAGGTGTGGTGGCTCACGCTTATAATCCCAGCACTTTGGGAGCCCAAGGCAGGCAGATCACAAGGTCAGGAGTTCAAGACCAGCCTGACCAACATGGTGAAACCCTGTCTCTACTAAAAATACAAAAGTTAGCCAGGTGTGGTGGGGCGCACCTGTAATCCCAGCTACTCAGGAGATCGAGGCAGGAGAATCACTTGAATCCAGGAAGCAGAGGTTGCAGTGAGCCAAGATCGTGCCACTGCACTCCAGCCTGGGTGACAGAGTAAAACTCTGTCTCCAAAAAAAAAGAAATGTCATACTGCTTAACTGTCAATCTCCCTCTATCCCTACTCTCCCTATCCTGTTCAGCTCTATGCAACCATTAGTCTACTTTCTGCCTCTATGGATTGACTATTCTGGATCTGGACATTTCATAATAATAGAATCATACAATATGTGGTCCTTTGTGACTCCTTCACTTAGCACAGTGCTTTCAAGGTCCATCTGTGTTGTAGCACATACCAATGTTTCATTCCTTTTTATGATCAAATAATAGTCCATGGTATGAATATATCATGTTTCGTTTACCCATTCATCCACTGACAGACATCTGAGTTGTTTCCATTTTTTGGCTATTATGAATAATGCTGCTATGAAGACTTGTGTGCAAGCTTTTGTGTGAAAGTGTTTTTATTCTTTTGGGTTAGTAGCTATAATTGAAACTGCTGGGTCACATATAACTTACCCTATAGAAAGGAAATACTGCCACAAATCAGGGCTTGATTGATGGTATTTTTGATTGTCAGAAAGGGGTGGAAAACATGAACACTGCAGATGAAACTAACAAGTGGGTCATGCCTGTAGCTGTTCTATTGTGACGAGTGCAGGAAATTGAAGAAATATCCTTCCAGTATTTAAAACTACCATCTGATTCAGAAAAGAGGTTGCTCACATCAGAGGCAGATGAAGTTCCAGTTCTAACACAGGTCTTTGTTAATTTCACTTTCATCTCATTCATTTATGTCAGAACTACACTTCTCTATCAATTGCAACCAGAGGTTGGCTATGGGTACAAGAGTTTGCAAAAATCAGTGCAAAGTATTGTGTGAGAGTTGATGATGTGACATTTACTTTTCATTGTTGTTTGTAAACTGTATGCGACATATAATTTTTTCTTTTTTTCTTCTTGTATTTTAGACAGGCTCTTGCTCTGTTGCCCAGGCTAGAGTGCAGTGGCTCCATCATAGCTCATGGAAGCCTCAAACTCCTGTGGTGTGTGGTTTTTATCCTCCCACCTCACTCTCCCAAGCAGCTGGGACCACAGGCATGTGCCACCACACCAGGCTAATTTTTTTTTTGTGGGTGGCGGGGTTTATAGAGATAGTTTTGCTATGTTTCCCAGGCCGGTCTGAAACTCCTGGGCTCAATCAATCCTCCTGTCTTGGCCTTCCAAAGTGCTGGGATTACAGGTGTGAGCCATGCCCAGGCTACGTATTCTTTAAATGAGTAAAATTTAATATATTTACACATATATGTACACATTTTCTTCCCACCCCCAAGAGCCAATTGCTAAATGTTTCCCAGCACAGCACTGGCTGAAGGAGTACAGAATTGGAGAGAGAGGCCAGGTGTGGTGGCTCACGCTTGTAATCCCAGCACTTTGGGAGGCCAAGGCAGGCAGATCACCCGCGGTCAGGAGTTCAAGACCAGCCTGGCCAACATGGTGAAACCTCGTCTCTTCTGAAAATACAAAAATTAGCCCAGCGTGGTGGCACAGGTCTGTAATCCTAGCTACCTGGGTGGCTGAGGCAGGAGACTTGCTTTAACTTGGGAAGCAGAGGTTGCAGTGAGCCAAGATCACACCACTACATTCCAGCCTGGGTGATAGAGTGAAATTCCATTGCAAAAAAAAAAAAAAAAAGAGAGATTAGAGAGAGACAAAAAAGTGAAAATTCCCCTCTTCCAATCAAACCTCCCCCTCACATCTGAAACAGGAAAAAAAAAAAAAAAAAACCCAGCAGTGGGAGACCCCCTGTCCATATGTCAAATGATGCAATCTGCCTGAACCATAACACACTACCTGCTGGGCATGGTGGCTTATGTCTGTAATCCCAGCACTTTGGGGAGCTGAGGTGGATCACATGAGGTCAGGAGTTCAAGACCAGCCTGGCCAAGACAGTGAAACCCCATCTCTACTAAAAATGCAAAAATTAGCCAGGTGTGGTAGCAGGCACCTGTAATCTCAGCTACTTGGGAGGCTGAGGCAGAAGAATTGCTTGAACTCAGGAGGTGGTGGTTGCAGTGAGCTCAGATCGTGCCACTGCACTCCAGCCTGGGCAACAAGAGTGGTATTTCATCTCAGGAAAAAGAGAACAAAAAAGAAAAGAAACTGCCAATATTCTACCATTTATGACCTTCAAAAATAGCAGTTTGATGAGGTTCCACCTATGTTGCACAAAGCCAGTCACTGTAGCAATTTTTGTGATATCAAAGGAATACAGCCGACTCAGGAGTCCATTAATAGTGCACAGGTATGCCCCACACATAATAGAACCTTACGCAGCTGTCACAAAGATCAGGCCAGGCATGGTGGCTCACACCTGTAATCCCAGCATTTTGGGAGGGTGAGGCAGGCAGATCACTTGTGGTCAGAAGTTTGAGACCAGCCTGGCCAACATGGCAAAACCCCATCTTTACTAAAAATACAAAAATTAGCTGGGTGTGGTGGTGGGCACCTGTAAGCCCAGCTACTTGGGAGTTTTAGGCAGGAGAATTGATTGCTTGAACCTGGGTGGTAGAGGTTGCAGTAAGGTGAGATTGTACAACTGCACTCCAGCCTGGGCCACAGAGCTGTCTCAAGGAAAAAAAAAAAAAAATTCAGGAAGCTATCTCTATATTGCTGAGGTAAAATGTCCACAGGACACTGTCAAGTGAAAAACATTAGCTTCAGGAGTGTGTGTGTAGGATGCTAACTTTGGGGGAAAAAGCAAGGTGAAAACAGGAACCTATTTCATATTTGCATATGGAAACTGTGTTCTGGGCTGAACAATAAATAACCTCCCAATATTCATGTCCAGGCAGAATGTGATCTGATTTGGAAATAGGGTCTTTGAAGACATAATTAGTTATACTGGCGGGCACTATGGTTCACTCCTGTAGTCCCAGCACTTTCAGAGGCTGAGGTGGGTGAATCATCTGAGGCCAAGAGTTCGAGACCAGCCTGGCCAACATGGTGAAACCCCATCTCCACTAAAAATACAAAAATTAACCAGGTGTGGTGGTGGGTGCCTCTATTCCTAGCCACTTGAGAGACTGAGGCAGGAGAATTGCCTGAACCTGGGATGTGGAGGTTGCAGTGAGTGGAGATCACGACACTGTGTTCCAGCCTGGGTGTCAGAGCGAGACTCCATCTCAAAAAAAAAAAAAAAAAAGTTATATTAAGATGAGGTTACGCTGGATGTTAGGTGGGCCCTAAATGCCATATGACTGCTGTCTTTATAAAAGCAGAAGAAACAGGGAGACAGGGACACAAGAGGAGAATGGAGACAGAGATTGCACTGATCCAAGCCAAGGAATAATGAAGACTGCCAACAGTGCCTAGAAGCCAGAAGAAACGAAGAAGGATTCTCCTCTTCGAGCCTTCAGAGGAAGGCATGGTTCTACTGACACCTTGATTTTTGGAATTCTAGCTTCCAAAACTATGACAGAACAAATTTCTGTTGTTACAAGCCACCTGGTTTGTGGAATGTCTTAAGGAAGTGAATACACTCTGGAATTCTGTATAAGTAACTAATAATGATGTCTACCTGTTATTCAGAGAATGAGAGGATGCGGGGAAGGCGGGAGGGGGATTTTTCACTGTACTGCTTTTTTTTTTTGAGACTGAGTCTTGCTCTGTTGCCCAGTCTGGAGTGCAGTGGTGCGATCTCAGCTAACTGCAACCTCTGTCTCCTGGGTTCAAGCAATTCTCCTGCCTCAGCCTCCCGAGTAGCTGGGGTTACAGGCACACACCACCACACTCGGCTAATTTTTTATTTTTTTGGTAGAAATGGGGTTTTGCCATATTGGCCAGGCTGGTCTTGAACTCCTGGCCTTAAGTGATCTGCCCGCTTCAGCCTTCCAAAGGGCTGGGATTACAGGTATGAGCCACCACACCCAGCCTAAGCTTTTTATATTTAAAAAAAAAACAAAAAACAAAAACCTTTTTGTCCGGGCATGGTGGCTCTCACTCCTGTAGTTCCAGCACTTTAAGAGGCTGTGGCAGGAGGACTGCTTGAACCCAGGAGGTCGAGGCAGCAGTGAGCTACAATCACGCCATGGCACTCCAACCTGGGTGACAGAGTAACACCCTGTCTCTAAAATAAATAAGTCTGAGAGTGGTGGCTCATGCCTGTAATCCCAGCACTTTGGGAGGCTGAAGTGGGCAGATCACCTGAGATCAGGAGTTCAAGACCAGCCTGGCCAACATGGTAAAACTCGGTCTCTACTAAAAATACAAAAATTAGCTAGGTATGATGGTGGACACCTGTAATTGCAGCTACTCAGGAGGCTGAGGCAGGAGAATCCCTTGAACCTGTGAAGCGGAGGTTACAGTGAGCCGAGATCACACCACTGCACTTCATCTAGGGCAACAAAGCAAGACTCTGTCTCAAAAAAAACAAAAACAATAAATAAATAAGGCTTTAATCACATCAATGTAATTACTGATTCAAAAAGCTAAATACGTGAAGGACTTTGGAGTATCTTCCCACCCTCTTCGAGTCTGAGATCCATCCACCCACTGGGCCACACCCTGCACCCATGCTGAGCCTAGGTCACCTGTCCATGGGCAACCTTGGCCCACGTGATGGTGAGGATGGGAACAGGTATACTGGGAGCATGTGCCCACCAAAGGCCTCTCAACTTCTCCTGGGAAAAGATCCCATTCCCCAGGCCTTGCCAGATCCCATTCAATCCTTTCCTCCCTCTGCCCACGGACTGGGGTCAGAAGGAGCCGCAAACCCCTACACAATTGCCCTGCACATCCACACGCTGCTGCTTCCGCTCCAGTTCTGCCTCAACTCCTGCCGCACCTCTAGCTATACAGATGCACCCTGACTCTCCCCTCTGGGCCTGAGCACATGCGGTTCCTTCTACCTGAGCTGCTCACCTCCCCAGCTTGGCCCGGCTCACTCCCTTTGGGTCTTCAGGTCTAAAGCAGATAGCCCCCCAACCCACTTTTTTTTTCTTTTAAGAGACAGGATCTCACTGTTGCCCAGGCTGGAGTGCAGTTGCATGATCTCGGCTCACTACAAACCTCCGCCTCCTGGGTTCAAGAGATTCTCCCACCTCAGCCTCCCAAGCAGGTGGGATTACAGGTGTGCACCACCACATCTGGCTAATTTTTGTATTTTTTGTTACAGATGGGGTTTCACCATGTTGGCCAGGCTGATCTCAAATTCCTGGCCTTATGTGATCCACCCATCTCAGCCTCCCAAGTGCTGGGATTAAAGGTATGAGCCACCAAGCCAGCCTAACATAGGTATCCCTTTATCTGTTCATTCCATGAATCTGTACTGAGCATTGACGCAGTGCCAGGCCCCAACCACTAGGGATACGGCCAAAACTGATGGGCGCGCGAGAAGCCTGCACCAACCTCTCCAGGCCTCAGTTACAGCCCTTCCTCACGTGTATCCACCATGTATTCTGCTTCTCCCATCACACCATGTCCATGTTATTGCCTGGAAACGTGACTCACCTTCCCCTCGCTCTCCAAAGACAGAGATCGGTTCTGCCAGTTTCAACTCATGGGGAAGGGCCTGCCCCCAAACCAGTGCCCTGGACATTTTTGTGGCATGCATAAGCCTCAGAATAGAAGGCAGGTGAATGCAGCACGGCTTCCAGGATGGGAGGCAGGCGAATGACAGGGTGACTGAGTCCCACCCCCACCTGCAGCTGTGTCCCTGCCACCTGCTCACCTTCAGAGAGACGTCAGCTAGAATGTGATGGGGCAGCTGCGAGTACATGAGTCCCAGACCCACGATGGCCTCCAGCTCGCCCAGGTCGGCAGCGTGTTCCAGATGGAAGACAGCCGACTCCTGGTCCCACTCCTCGCCCTTCTTGCAGAAGCGCCCGCCCTCGTGGTAGCGCACCATGGCCAGATGGACCTGCCACACAGACTACAGTGTCGACCCAGCTGTCTGGCCGGCCGAAGCCACACCCAAGACCGCCCAGCCAGCCTGCAGGAGGAAGTGATTAGCGAAGGAGAGGCTAGAGCCAAGGGGCTCCAGGTTAATGCAGACAGGGCTTCAAAATGGGCGTCGCTGATACCTTCCCCAAAATGGACTTCCCGATTTTCTTTTCGAGGTCCAGAGCATTAAGCCTTTGCACTTCCAGGGCCACGGCCGAAGCCCTCGGCAGGTGGAGGCGGGAGGAGTTGAGGAGATTCCACTTCTCTACACAGACCTGAAGGGATAGAATCGGCCAGAGAAGCGAGGGGCTGGGGGTGGACGCAGCATCACTGCTGTGAGCAGTCCCTACTACACAGGAGCCTGGCTGGCAGGAGACGGGGAGCGAACGCTTGCGATGTCAAAGTTTATTGGCCAAACATGGCTCCAGTGTTTTTTTTTGAGACAGATTCTCGCTTATTACCCACGCTGGAGTGCAATGGCACAATCTTGGCTCGCTGCAACCTCCGCCTCCCAGGTTAAAGCGGTTCTTCTCCCTGAACCTCCTGAGTAGGTGGGACTACAGGCACACGCCACATGCCTGGCTAATAAAGATCCAATTTTAATCATTCAAATTCCATCAGTTCATGGGTTCAGGAGCTAGGGGAACAGATTTCAGCAGCTCAAGGAAGCATTTCCCTGTCATTTACTGATCTGGGTTTTGTTTGGAGGGGTGGGGTTTGACCCTAAACTACCCCACTTTACCAGGTCCCCATATAAGACACCAGAGACTCCCACTCAGACCTTCCAGCAAATCCACTTTCCTTTCCTCTGCAAGTCACCACAATGACATGAGCAACATCAGCAGGGAACTTTAGGAAATGGGCTTAAAAAAATACATCATTTCGGCCGGGCGCGGTGGCTCAAGCCTGTAATCCCAGCACTTTGGGAGGCCGAGGCGGGTGGATCACGAGGTCGAGAGATCGAGACCATCCCGGTCAACATGGTGAAACCCCGTCTCTACTAAAAATACTAAAAATTAGCTGGGCATGGTGGTGCGTGCCTGTAATCCCAGCTACTCAGGAGGCTGAGGCAGGAGAATTGCTTGAACCCAGGAGGCGGAGGTTGCGGTGAGCCGAGATCGCGCCATTGCACTCCAGCCTGGGTAACAAGAGTGAAACTCCGTCTCAAAAAAAAAAAAAAAAAAAAAAAAGAAAACATCATTTCTCCTAGGCAAAGATGCCATGTCCAGAGGCTCTTGCAGGATATACCCAGGCAGGTGTGTGTGCATGTGTGCATGCTAAACATCTTGCAACACACAGGGTAGCCCCCTCAACAAGGAACGATTCAGCCCAGAATGCCAATAGTGCCTCGCTTGAACAACCCTGTTCCACACCTAGCTGAGAGGATCCTGATCTGGCCAAAAAATAGCGCATGGTAAATAATCAGTGTTCTGGGAGATGCAAGAGTCATGCCTGTGGGGGAGGTCAGGGAAGGCTCCTGGAGGAGGTACCCCTGAGGTCCAGGCTTGCAGAGCAGGGAGGATTTGGAGAGAAGACAGAGGGGTAGAAAGGACCTTGCAGGCAGAAGAAAGTCACTTTAGCAAAGGCTCAAAGGTAAGCGGTTCAAAGCCTGTATGGGAATCAGTTAGAGGGGTAGGTGGGGCACAGGGCTGGTCTTTCCCAGACGTGCTGATGCTTGTTAGACATACAAGCGAGGGTAACCTGGGGAAAGAGCCAGTTTCTCATACATAAAACGGGATGGGTGACATTAGCCTATCACCTGGGTGGTTGCAAGAAGGAAATTGATTAATGCTGCAAAGCGCCTTCACGGTAGGCACTTAAGACAGGAGCTGTAGCTGTTGTGATTTCCCCTCAAGGATGAGGCTGTCCTGTTTCTCTAATCTTCTCCACAAATCCCCCAGTATCCTGCCCAGCAGGGGTTCAAAGAGCATTTGCCCAGGAGATTTGTTGCTTTGCAAAATCTTCCTTTGGCACATGTGCAAGACAGATGGGCAGGCAGCAGAGACATGAGACAGGAGAACAGCAAGAGCCTGGAGGAGGCAGGGAAGTGGCAGTGACAAGGGTGACTTGGGGTGCGTTACCCGTCCGGAGCTGCCCAGGCTGTCTTCGTCGGACTCGTACTTCCGATTACCGTTGGAGTGGCCCTGAATGGAGGCAGAAATTACAGTGATCCAAAGTGCAAAGCTTCTTCCCAGGAACCTCTCTGAGAGCTGCTCCAGCCCTCCTCCCCGGAACCAGCCTGGCTCTCCCAGGTGACCCTTCTCTCAGAAAATTGGAACCCATCCCAGGTGACATGGGAACTGTGGTCTGCCAAGCAGAAGGGATGCTGGCAGGGATGACACGCTGGTGCAGCCGCAGCCTCGCTGTCCCCCTCCCCGTGTGAGCAGGTGTAACTGACTCAGCGGTGCAGGATCCCAGCACAAAGCCATGGGGCGAAGAGGGCTGAGTCCCAGCCAGAGCTCCTACAGCATGTCTAGATTTTTGTTAGACATGGGTCTCGCTCTGTTGCCCAGGCTGGAGTACAGTGATGCCATCAAAGCTCACTGCCGCCTCAAACTCCTGAGGTTTAAGCAATCCTCTCACACTGCCCTCCCAAAGTTCTTGAATTGCAGGTTTGAGCCACCATGCCCAGCCGTATTGCTTTTTTTATTTTTTTGAGACAAAGTCTCGCTCTGTCATCCAGGCTGGAGTGCAGTAGCACAATCTCAGCTAACTGCTGCACCCTCTACCTCCTGGGTTCAATCGATTCTCATCCCTCAGCCTCCCGAGTAGCTGGGATTACAGGTGTCTGTTCCTACACCTGGCTAATTTTTATATTTTTAGTAAAGATGAAGCTTCTTCATGTTGGCCAGGCCGGCCTCAAATTCCTGACCACAAGTGATCCCCCAACCTTGGCCTCCGAAACTGCTAGAATTACAGCACCCCCCCACTTTTTTTTTTTTTTTTTTTTTTTTTTGCCTCTGTTGCCCAGGCTGGAGTGCAATGGCACAATCTTGGTCATCGCAATCTCTGCCTCCTGGGTTCAAGCGATTCTTCTGCCTCAGCCTCCCAAGTAGCTGGGATTACAGGCATGCACCACCATGCCTGGCTAATTTTTTATTTTTTTTATTTTTTATTTTTTTTTTGAGCCGGAGTTTTGCTCTTGTTACCCAGGCTGGAGTGCAATGGCGCGATCTCGGCTCACCGCAACCTCCGCCTCCTGGGTTCAGGCAATTCTCCTGTCTCAGCCTCCTGAGTAGCTGGGATTACAGGCACGCACAACCATGCCCAGCTAATTTTTTTGTATTTTTAGTAGAGACGGGGTTTCACTATGTTGACCAGGATGGTCTCGATCTCTTGACCTTGTGATCCACCCACCTCGGCCTCCCAAAGTGCTGGGATTACAGGCTTGAGCCACCGCGCCCGGCCTAATTTTTTATTTTTAGTAGAGATGTGGTTTCTCCATGTTGGTCAGGCTGGTCTCGAACTCCCGACCTTAGGTGATCTGCTCACCTCACCCTTCCAAACCCTTCCTGGGATTACAGGTGTGAGCCACCAAACCCTTTTTTTAAAAAAATATTTGAAGAGATTTATTCTGAGCCAAATATGAGTGACCACTGCTCCTGACACAGCCCCAGCAGATCCTGACAACATGTGCCCAAGGTGGTTGGGCTGCAACTTGGTTTCATGCATTTTAGGGAGGCATAAGACATTCATCAGTATACTTTTTTTTTTTAGACAGAGTCTTGCTCTGTCACCCAGAGCTGGAGTACCGTGGCATGACCTTGGCTCACTGCAACCTTCACCTTCCAGTCTCAAATGATCCTCATGCCTCAGCCTCCCAAGTAGATGGGACTAGAGGAGTACATCACTGCACTGGGCTAGTTTTTGTATTTTTAGTAGTGACAAGGTTTCACCATGTTGGCCAGGCTGGTCTTGAACTTCTGGCATCAAGTGATCTGCCTGCCTCAGCCTTCCAAAGTGCTGGGGGGGCGGCGTAAGCTACCATGCCCGGCCAGCATGTTGTTTATTTACAATCATAAAGCTGAGATCAGAGGTGTCTCAGAAAGACTGGCCTTGATGTGCAGGCTCCATTTCAGCACAGGGTAAGACCTCTAAATGGCAGATACTGTCTGAGGCTGCCCTCACCAGGATGCTGCTCGGAAACTGCCATAGGAAACTGACCTCCAAGGCCCTCCTCCCTAGGGCCTCACAGGATCCTACATATGAGTGGGTCCAGTTATTACGCACGATCCTCTCTGCTCAGCAACCCAGGGTTCCCACTTCACCATAAGATCTGTCAGCCATTATCAGCCTTACATCTAAGCCTCCATACTTGCCGCGTTACTGGTTGATATGATCCTGTTTTATCTTCTCCCTTGCATTTATCACTATCTGAAATGCTTTTTTTTTTTTTTTTTTTTTTTTTTGAGACAGAGTCTCACTGTGTTGCCCAGGCTGGGGTGCAGTGGTACAATCTCCACTCACTGCAACCTCCATCTTCTGGGTTCAAGCGATTCTTCTGCCTCAGCCTCCTGAATAGCTGGGATTAAAGGTATGCACCAACATGCCTGGCTAATTTTTGTATTTTTAGTAGAGACGGGATTTCACCATGTTAGCCAGGCTAGTCTGGAACTCCCGATTTCAGGTGATTCACCCACCGTGGCCTCCCAAAGTGCTGGGATTAAAGGCATGAGCCACCATGCTGGGCCTGAAATACTCTTTATTAATTTACCTGCTGTCTTTTTCAGGATCCACTGACAATCCCCCTCCAGGAAGGGGAGTTTTTATTTTCCTGGAGGATAAACGAGACAATAGGAGACACCAGTCTTATTTCCTGGGGGTTCCTTACATGTTCTCGTGGCTCAGGATCATCCAGGTCACCCCGCTTCTCACTAGGGTATCCACTGTCCCCACTGTTCTCAGAGTCCTGTGGAGAGAAGATGACCTCAGGGTCCTAGTGGTCCTGAGTGCCTGGCAGTGGTTGTGACATGTGAACACTCCAACCATTGGCTTTCTCCCCTCCGTCCCATTAACTAACACCCTGCTCCTGCTGTCCCTTGCTAACTGGGTGACAAGGCAGCAGTATAAAGTAACAGCAAGGACCGTGGGCTCTACAGTCAGATGACCTGGGCTCCAATCCTGCCTTTGTTTCTCGTCAGCTGAGACCTTGGGCAGCTGCTTAACTTCTCTGAGCATCAGTATCCTTAGTGATGAAATTCATTACAGCCCCTACATCCAAGGGCTGTGTGGGTGAAACACATTGTTCACTCTGAGAGTGTGGATCACAGGAAGTGCTTCACTGAGAGTGACTCACCCTTTTCACAGTCAGAAAAGCAAAGGCTGGTTTAAGTGGTACCACGCATGGACAAAAATACAGCACTGGGAACAATATTTACTACAAATAAGCCCTCAACCAAAACCACACAGGTCACTGGGGCATATTTTTAATTCCCCCAGCTCTGAGTTCTGTTCTGAAAAGGAATCTGGTGTAACTTAGAATCTCTAAAACTTCGCTCACGTGCCTATGAACATTAAATGATAGCTCTCTCTGCATGTTACCTGCACCATTAGTAACAGAATATTTTAATTTCCTTCTTTATTCTACTAAGAAGTATTTCTTTGCTCTGTGTATGGAGGGGGGCGGGCAGGGTCTCTGCTGCCCAGTGGAGTGCAGTGGTGTGATCTCAGTTCACTGCAACCTCTGCCTCCCAGGTTCAAGCGAATCTCTTGCCTCAGTCTCCCAAGTAGCTGCAATTACAGGTACACACCACCATGCCTGGCTAATTTTTATACTTTTTGTAGAGATGGGGTTTCATCATGTTGGCCAGGCTGGTCTTGAGCTCCTGGCCTCAAGTGATCCACTCACCTCAACCTGGGAAGTACTGGGATTACAGGCATAAGCCACCTCACCCAGCCTCTTCTAAGATGTATTTCTTTTTCTTTTCTTTTTTTTCTGAGACTGTCTTGCTCTGTTGCCCAGGCTGGAGTGTAGTGGTGCAATCTCTGCTCCCTGCAACCTCTGCTTCCTGGGTTCAAGCAATTCTCCTGTCTCACCCTCCTGAGTAGCTAGAATTACAGGCGCCTGCCACCACACCTGGCTATTTTTTGTATTTTTAGTAGAGAGAGGGATTCATCATGTTGGCCAGGCTGGTCTTCAAATTCCTGACGTCAAGTGTTCACCCGCCTTGGCCACCCAAAGTGATGGGATTGCAGGTGTAAGCCATGGCACCCAGCCTCTACGAAGAAGTATTTCTTTCTTCCTTTCTTTGTTTTTTTTGAGACAAGATCTCGCTCTGTCACCCAGGCTGGAGTGCAGTGGTGTGATGACAGCTTACTGCAGCCTCTGCCTCCCAGGCTCAGGAGATCCTTCCACCTCAGCCTCCTGAGGAGTAGCTGGGACTACAGGTATGTGCCACCATGTCTGGCTAATTTTTGTATTTTTTTGTAGGGATGGGGGTCTTGTCATATTGCCCAGGCTAGTCTCAAACTCTTGGGTTCAATTGATCTGCCCACCTTGGTCTCTCAAGATGCTGGGATTATAGGCATGAGCTACCTTGCGTGGCAAATTTTACTAAGAAGTATTTCAAACACACACACAAGCATAGAGAGTATTATAATTCACCACAATATGGATTTGTGCAAATGCAAATAAGATGCCTTCAGTTTCTTACAAGCAAGTCAATGCAAACCTTCAGGAAATGTTCTGTTTATCTAACTGCAGAGCTAGATATGAAGAGCTAGAATACATGGCTTACTGTTCTATATGTTACATATGGGGGCTCTATAGGATAACCCACACATGTGAGGCCTAACCAAACCTGGGGCTGAGCCTGGCATTTACTACAAGATTGTATTGTTGCTGATTGGGAGTCCCTCTTCCCTAATCATCTCTGAGAACTGCAATGGACCCACCTTTTCCCAGAAAAACGCTCAGCCTTGGGCTGGAGGCTGACATTCATCTGCATCTTCCCTAACTCCCCCATCCAGTGCCTTTCTGGCAGTGTCTGGGCTGGGCTGCCCACTTCCAAGCTGAAGATTCACTCTAGGAGTGAATCCACTCCTCCCACCCCTGCTGGCATCTGAAGCCTGCAGCCTCCCTTCTTCCACACTCACCCGGTGGTTGTCTAGATGATCAGGGTCCCTGGACACCATGTTATCGAGGTCACTGAACACCGGCCAATCTGGGCAGGGAGAAACAGAACATGCATAAGACCAACCCATGGCCTAGGGCAGTCCACACTTGCCACCAAGCCTTCTTGTTTTTTTTTTTGTTTTTTTTTTTGTTTTTTGAGACAGAGTTTCTCTCGTTACCCAGGTTGGAGTGCAATGGCGCGATCTCGGCTCACCGCAACCTCCGCCTCCTGGGTTCAGGCAATTCTCCTGCCTCAGCCTCCTGAGTAGCTGGGATTACAGGCACGTGCCACCATGCCCTGCTAATTTTTAGTATTTTTAGTAGAGACGGGGTTTCACCATGTTGACCAGGATGGTCTCGATCTCTCAACCTCGTGATCCACCCGCCTCGGCCTCCCAAAGTGCTGGGATTACAGGCTTGAGCCACAGCGCCCAGCCTGGTTTTTAAGTTTTAAAGAAAGGCACAAAAAAGGAGAAGAATGTTCTCAGCACCTAGAAGCTAAAATTCTTCCTTGAGAACTTATTCTAAGTCTGCGATTTGCCAGCTACATAATTCTGGACAAGTGGTGTCAACTATATGTGTGTCCTCAGGGTTGTCACAATGCAATTATCATTCTAATGTGTTTACCAGCATATGTGCCTGACCACCACTTGGTCCTCAAAAGGTACAGTTGTGAAGGAAGTAAAGACATTTGTACATTTGGGGCTCAAGAAATGGACCTTGGACAGCTTCAAAACCAACCATCTCTAGCCGGGTGCAGTGCCTTACGCCTGTAATCCCAGAACTTTGGGACGCCAAGGCAGGTGGATGGTCTGAGGTCAGGAGTTCTAGACCAGTCTGGCCAACAGAGTGAAACCCCATCTCTACTAAAAACACAAAAATTAGCTGCATGTGGTGGCATGCACCTGTAATCCCAGCTACTCAGGAGGCTGAGGCAGGAAAATTGCTTGAACCTGGGAGTTAGAGGGTGCAGTGAGCCAAGATTGTGCCACCACACTCCAGCCTGGGTGACAGAGCAAGACTCCATCTCAAAAACAAACAAACAAACAACAACAACAATAACGACAAAAACCAACCATCTTCTGGTGGTTCCCTATGTCTGTCTCCTACCCTATATAGCCAAATCGGTCTGCCAGTTTTTATAATTCGTAAGAACAGTGTTTATGTTTTTTTGTTTTTTTGTTTTTTTGAGACGGAGTTTTCGCTCTTGTTACCCAGGCTGGAGTGCAATGGCGCGATCTCAGCTCACTGCAACCTCCGCCTCCTGGGCTCAGGCAATTCTCCTGCCTCAGCCTCCTAAGTAGCTGGGATTACAGGCACACGCCACCACGCCCAGCTAGTTTTTTGTATTTTTAGTAGAGACGGGGTTTCACCATGTTGACCAGGATGGTCTCGATCTCTCAACCTCGTGATCCACCCGCCTCGGCCTCCCAAAGTGCTGGGATTACAGGCTTGAGCCACCGCGCCCGGCAAAAGTAATCTTTCCCATTTGTCTATCAGCCCTCCCTTTCTTTTTCTTTCTTTTTTTTTTTTTTTTTTTTGAGACGGAGTTTCGCTCTTGTTACCCAGGCTGGAGTGCAATGGCGCGATCTCGGCTCACCGCAACCTCCACCTCCTGGGTTCAGGCAATTCTCCTGCCTCAGCCTCCTGAGTAGCTGGGATTACAGGCATGCGCCACCATGCCCAGCTAATTTTTTGTATTTTTAGTAGAGACGGGGTTTCACCATGTTGACCAGGATGGTCTCGATCTGTTGACCTCGTGATCTACCCGCCTCAGCCTCCCAAAGTGCTGGGATTACAAGCTTGAGCCACCGCGCCCGGCCTCAGTGTTTATGTTTTTAAATGACGACAAAAATTACATTTCACTGTCTATAAATAGTTTTATTTGAACACAGCCACGTCTACTCATTTAACTGTTTTTTTACGGTAGCTGTCATTCTCCAGATGCAGAAAGTGAATGACCTGCAAAGCTTAAAATATTCCCCAGCCTTTTAAAAAGGTCTGTTGACCTTCCAGTGGAAACATCTAGAAGGCTTCTTTAATGTTTGACACTAAAATCCTTCTCTCTTCCAAAGGTATCAGAAATGAGAAAAATAAAAAACTAAATAATAAAATCTTCCTCTCCTGCTGAGCCTGCTCCCCACTCACACTCTCCCTGAATACACGAGTTCCAGTTCTTTAGGCCAACACCCTGGGGCCAATCTTACCTCTATCCTTTCCTACAGCTCTTGTCTGAATCACCAGCAAACTCCATCCTTTCAATGTCAGAAATAATGATTCTGTTTTTCTCCTTTGAGCCATTAATATCACGTTCATAACTTTTCTAATACTGAACAACCCTCAGATTCCTATGAAACCCCCATTTAACTGTGACAGGTGAACCTTTTAACACAGTACTATTTTTATTTGTTAATACTGACTGAGATTTTTTCGTTCTCTATATATATACACAAATAAAAATTTTAAATAAGGTTGGGATATAATTTTCTTTTTTAGTTTATTAAGTTTACTATATGGGTTTTGCTGGTTTCATAAAACACGCTGATGAATGTAACCTCATTTCCTATAATAGGGGTTGTTTTTATAGCATTTGGATGATCTGTTTTTAAAGTTCATTCAATGAAACTCACTTATAAAACCACTGGGGCTATGAACCTTTTTTTTTTTTTTTTTTTTTTGAGACGGAGTTTCGCTCTTGTTGCCCAGGCTGGAGTGCAATGGCGCGATCTCGGCTCACCGCAACCTCCGCCTCCTGGGTTCAGGCAATTCTCCTGCCTCAGCCTCCTGAGTAGCTGGGATGACAGGCACGCGCCACCATGCCCAGCTAATTTTTTGTATTTTTAGTAGAGACGGGGTTTCACCATGTTGACCAGGATGGTCTCGATCTCTCGACCTCGTGATCCACCCGCCTCGGCCTCCCAAAGTGCTGGGATTACAGGCTTGAGCCACCGCGCCCGGCTGCTATGAACCTTTTTGATTAGCATGTCTGATTTTTCTAACGTAAATGAAAGCCACTTTAGCTCTGCTCTACCGGAACCCTCCAAACGCAGTGACTGGGGACCAAACCATCACTCACGGAGGTGCTCCAGCTTCTGGCTGTGTGGTGTGGCCGAAGATGGAGAAGACGGGAGGGAGTCAAAGGTCATGTCGCTCATGTTCTCATCTCCAGAGTTCTCTGAAAGGGGACGGAGCAGGGGGGGCCGGCTCCCAGAGAAGGTCCTTACTCGCGGGCTCCCACATTTTTCCTCTGTTCCTCTCAAGATGGTCTTGGCTGATTGCTGGGGACAGTAACAGGGATACTCATGTCATGCACACACCCTGTGGGAAATAAAGGGCTCTTCACATTATTCCCTCTAGTCCTAAAATCCCTTCCTCCGTAGCTTCTAGACATGCCTGTTTAGGGGCTGATATATTGTCTTTAAATTTAAAAAAAAAAAAAAAAAAATCAGGGAATTAAACCTAAGTCCTCCAAGAACGGGCATCTGGGACAGAAGCTCAGAGGACCTGCCAGCCACCATCCCCTAAAGCACTGACTACATTCCACAGCCTGGAGCTGGAGAAAGCGTCCCACTCTATGTCCAGCATCCCAGGCTGGTCTTGGCAACATTCTCTTGTCTCTGGTCCACGTAGCAGTGGGAGGGATGGGAGTTATCCTGGTGAGGTTCCTGGAGAGGCAGGTCTAAGAACAGTTCAGTCATTTGTCAATGTAACACACAAACACACACACACACCACATGCCTTCTCACTCTCTCCACATGTCTGCTCCCCTCACTCTGGGCAAAAATGGGCCCAACCTAAGCAGATACCAGCTGCTCGACTGTGAGGGCACTCAGGAGGTCTCTGCGCACTGAGCTGGAGGAGACGGCCTGGGGCAAGGATGGGACAGATGCGTCCAGCTCTGGTATTCGTCAATTAAGCATTGCTCGGCCTGGCTGTCACCACACACGGGAGCAGGGCTTGCTGTGCGGGTAGCAGAAGGGCCCACCAGGCCAAGCAGGGTCACACCGGCCACCCACCAGCAGCTTGGTGTTCTGATTCACCGCGTCCCTCTCCCTGGGTGAGAGGTCAAAGGGAGCGAGGCCCATGCTCTCACAAATCCGGTTGCAGGCATGAGAGTAGAAGAAGAGCGCCATCCCGCGGACACCTGTGGACAGAGAAGGGGTGTCTGGAGTGTTGCTTTGCTCTGTGACGGGGTACAGGCAGCGGTGGGCCTCATACACGTGGCCAGGGCAGCTACAAAACTTGTAGAGCTGGGAGGCATCAGACATCCAGGCTCCCATCTCCACGATCTTGGGAAAGTGCAGACAGTGTCTCAGCCTGTTTCCTTGGCTGCACAAAGAGCTCAGAGGTTTTAGCAGGGAGTGTGGTTTCTGGGGAAACAGGCTGGCTCTCCCCACCTACCTAGGTTGCCGTCTCCAAAGTCAGTGCCCGTCTCCGTGTGGATCTGTGGGTCAGTGTAGAGATCCCCAACTCCCTGGATGTCCACCACTATCAGCTGATGGCCGGAACGCTCAAATGTGAAGTGGCTGAAGGCCTGCGTGGGGACAGGAAGGAAAAGGAGATGTCAAGAGACAGGCTGAGGGCTGTGCGGGCACTGGCCACACCTCTGCTCTGGGGGTTGAAACGCCCCAGCTTTGCCTATGCTGAGAGGCTTTCTCTGCAAGGAGGAGTTATATAGAGGAAAAGACAAAGGAAAAAGGCCAAGTCAGTTGGGCAGGGACTGTGGGCTGAAGGTCCTGTGGCCACCTTAGGTGACGGAAGCTGTCATGGGGTGACAGGTGTCCCATTATAGTCTCCTTCAGAACGCTCAAGGGGCTCCTCTGAGGGTGAGACTCCAAGCCCACAGGGACCATCCTCTTTGCGGGCTAAACCTGGCCAGGATCCCACCCCAAAGCGCTGTGGTGGGCAGAGCGTGGAGGAAGCGGGGGCCTCACCTGCGGCGTCAGGCGGATGTTGTCGTCACGGACAAAACCTGAGTTGGAATTATACTTGATGTACTTGCCCTCGATGTAGTGCTCCAGGTGGAAGAGGGGCTGGCCCGGTCTGTCCTTCAGCTCAAGGATGCACATCTGCATGATGTCCACCTGGTGGGATAGAAGTGGGAGTGGGCTCAGGCGGGAGGGCCCAGCACACCTCCTCTGAGAAGCGGCAGCAGGAGTGCTGAGAGGAGCTGGCCTGCCTGGGCTCGGATTCTGGCGCCATCACTTACTAGCTGTCCACTGCAGGAGCTCCTGATGATGCCCAGAATCTGATCCCCTCTTTTCCTTTCATTTTGTTTTCATTTAAAAAATATATACTGCTGGACGCAGTGGCTGATGCCTGTAATCCCAGCACTTTGGGAGGCCAAGGTGGGCAGATCATGAGGTCAAGAGATCGAGACCATCCTGGCCAACATGGTGAAACCCCATCTCTAGTAAAAATACAAAAATTAGCTGGGTGTGGTGGTGCACACCTGTAGTCCCAGCTATTCAGGAGACTGAGGCAGGAGAATTGCTTGAACCTGGGAGGTAGAAGTTGCAGCGAGTCAAGATCGCACCACTGCACTCCAGCCTGGCGCCTGGAGAATCGCTTGAACCTGGGAAGCGGAGGTTGCAGTGAGCCGAGATTGCGCCATTGCACTCCAGCCTGGTGACAGGGCGTGACTCCATCTCAAAAAAAAAAAAAAATTAATAAAACAAAAATACAAAAATTAGCTGGGCATGGTGGCATGTGCCTGTAATCTCAAGGGGTCTGAGGCAGGAGAATCACTTGAACCCAGGAGGCAGAGGTTGCAGTGAGTCAAGATCATGTCACTGGGCCGGGCACGGTGGCTCACGCCTGTAATCCCAGCACTTTGGGAGGCTGAGGCGGGCGGATCACGAGGTCAAGAGATCGAGACCATCCTGGTCAACATGGTGAAACCCCGTCTCTACTAAAAATACAAAAAATTAGCTGGGCATGGTGGTGCGTGCCTGTAATCCCAGCTACTCAGGAGGCTGAGGCAGGAGAATTGCTTGAACCCAGGAGGCGGAGGTTGCGGTGAGCCGAGATCGCGCCATTGCACTCCAGCCTGGGTAACAAGAGCGAAACTCCGTCTCAAAAAAAAAAAAAAAAAAACAAAAAAAAACACATCATGTCACTGTACTCCAGCCTGGGTAACAGAGTGAGATACCATCTCAAAAAAAGAAAATTTTTTTGGAGACAGGGTCTTACTCTGTTGCCCGGGTTGGAGTACAGTGTCATAATCATGGCTCATCATAGCCTTGAACTTCTGGGCTCAAGCAATCCTCCCACCTCAGCCTCCTGAGGAGCTAGAACTACAGGTATGTGTCACTACACATGCCTCATATCTAAATATTTTTCTAGAGACAAGGTCTCACTATGTTGCCTAGGCTGGTCTTGAATTGGCCTCAAGCAATCCTCTTGTCTTCCAGCATCTTCCCAGAGCATTAGGATGACAGGATGCAGCCGCTACGCTTAGCTCTCTTTTCCTTTTAGAATGAAACCCTGGATCACTGTTTTTTTCTTTTCTTTTCTTTTCTTTTTTTTGAGATAGAGTCTCACTCTGTTGCCAGGCTGGAGTGCAGTGGTGCAATCTTGGCTCACTGCAATCTCTGCCTCCTGGGTTCAAGCGATTCCCCTGCCTCAGCCTCCTGAATAGCTGGGACTACAGGTATGCACCACCTCGCCCGGCTAATTTTTTTTTATTTTAGTAGAGATGGGGTTTCACCATGTTGGCCAGGATGGTCTCGATCCCCTGACCTTGTGATCTGCCCACCTTGGCCTCCCAAAGTGCTGGGATTATAGGCATGAGCCACCGTACCCAGCCCCCAAATCACTGAATTTTAAAAGGGTCCATAGCCACCTACTTGGGATGACATTGCTAAGATTCCCTTGCAGCTAAGTGTGGCCACATGACCGTGTCTGGCGAATGGAAACTGAGCATTGCAATGATGTAACTCCAGCCTGCCCTATAAGGTGGACTCTGCTTGGGAGCCAGAACTGACCATGTGGTCCATGGCAAACCCCTGAAGGGATGGCAGAGAAACAAGACCAAAGGAACCACGTCTCTAGATGGCTTCAAGGAGATGAGGCACCAGCCTACCCCAAGCCACCCACCAACGCAGGACCTCCTCACAAGTGAGACAAAAACTATTTCATATCTGCACATATTTGTGGGTCTGTTTGCTAAACAATTTAGACTATGCCTTATAGCAATACTGTGAATTTGGGAACATTTCTGAATTTCACCTCTCTGTGGCTCAGTTTCCTCACCTGCAGAAAGGGTCTCAGACTCAGCCTGTGAATTAAATTTGTTGATGCAAAAAGGAGCCAAGCAATGTTTGCTTTTGCTTTATTTTATATTTTATTTTTTTGAGACAGAGTCTCACTCTGTTATTGCCCAGGCTGGAGTGCAGTGGCTCAATCTTGGCTCACCGCAACCTCCGCCTCCTGGGTTCACCTCTGCCACAGCCTCTCGAGTACCTGGGACTACAGGCACCCGTCACCATGCCCAGCTAATTTTTATATTTTTAGTAGACACAGAGTTTCACCATGGTGGCCAGGCTGGTCTTGAACTCCTGACCTCCAGTGATCTGGCTGCTTGGCCCCCCAAAGTGCTGGGATTACAGACATAAGCCACTGCGCCTGGCCACTCATTTTATTTTTATCAGGAGCCACAATTCTAGAGAAATATAAAGCAACCTCTAAACAGCAGTTCTCTCCCTGCAATGGGAAATTATAGGGAACTTTGACATTCCTTGCTGAATTTCTTTTTTTTAATGAACTCTATGTTTAATTTTGTACACAGAAGAAAATCTACAAATAGTGCATATGGCTTGTAAAGTAGAGTAGGCGAGATTGAGGACTCTAGCTTGTATCTCTTGCCCTGTTACACAAGGACTCACCCTTGGCCCCCATGTCCCCTCAATGCCACCTCTTGGGAGGATCAGGTCCCAGGTTTCCCAAGGAAATGACCATTCAGGGAGAGTGGGTCACCAGACAGGCAGACAGCAGCTGCAGAGGCCAAAGGGGTCCGGATCTGAGAGCAGAGAACTTGCCCCAAATGAGACCTCAGTTGGTTCTGAGAACCAGCCTGAGGGGAAGGCAGGAAGGGGTGGTTCTCAGAGGGTTCCACCCCGAAGGCTGCTTCCATCCCTACAAGAAAACCTACAGCATGGCCACCTGCTCAGCCAGGGGGCTCCCTGGGTGAAGGGCAGTGGCACAGCCACAGCAGCCAGCCAGCACCTCCTCAAACAACCACACCCCTCTCCGGCCCCTAAGTCAACCCCAGCATTATTATTATTATTATTACTATTTTGGGATGGAGTCTTGCTCTGTCACCCAGGCTCAAGTGCAGTGGCACAGTCTTGGCTCACTGCAGCCTCTGCCTCCCTGGTTCAAGTGATTGTCCTGCCCCAGCCTCCTAAGTAGCTGAAATTACAGGTGTGCACCACCACACCTGGCTAATTTTGTATTTTTAGTAGAGACGGGGTTTCATCATGTTGGCCAGGCTGGTCTTGAACTCCTGACCTCAGGTGATCTGCCCACTTCAGCCTCCCAAAGTGCTGGGATTACAGGCGTGAGCCACGGCACCTGGCCTACCACATTATTCTTTACTGAACACCTAGGTGCTAGGAGACAGCAGTGAACAAGAAAAAATAAAACCTCTGCCTTTAGGGGAGAGAAGCACCCAAAATATTAACTAAATGAATGACACACTAACTGCTCCGAAGAACAGAAAACAAAAACCAGAAGGACGTGGCAGAGGTGACGGGTGGAGACACCACTTCTTGCGGGTGGTCTGAGACAGGGTGGCTGAAGAGGTGACACAGGAGCTGAGACCTGAATTACATGAAGGGTATGTCTTTATCAGCAATGAGAAAACTAATACACATTGCTAGCTCTTTTCTTCTGCTTTTTCTTGGGAATCTCTCCTTTTCCAGTCTTGGTCCCTGTGATCTGGGTGAAACACCTACATTCCTAGCTCTAAGGGCAGGCATGTGGCTTCGGTGTGCCCACTCTACATATTCCCACCCCTTGGCCACTGTGATTGGCTCAGCATTAGGCATTGGACCTAATCAGAGCCAATGAAACCCAGCTCTGAGACTTTTATTAGAACTTCTGGGAAATAGCTGTCATTCCAAAAAGACCTTGAGCCTGCTGGGGGTCAAAGTGCTACCACAAATGCTGAGGCTGCCTGAGAATGATGCCAACCCAGAAGAACACCCAGGCCAGAGATGGAGAAGATTCTGACAACCTCAGTTTTATCCTGAATCCAGCCATGCCTATGTGGCCAGCATTATTTTTCAGATACATAAGACAACGAATTCCCTTTTTGGATTAAGCAGTTTGAGTGGGTTTCTGTTGTTTGCCAACAAAAATCCTGACTAATAGATCCCATCTGTAATTGAGGATAAAAACATTCCAACCTCAGAGCTCTGTTTTTAGGAATAAATGACCTGAGACAGGTGCAATGGCTCATGCCTATAGTTTGGGAGGCCAAGGTGGACTCCTGCTTGAGGCCAGGAGTTGAAGACCAGCCTAGGCAACATGGCAAAACCCTGTCTCTACAGAAAATATAAAAATTAGCTGGGCATGGTGGTGTGCCCCTGCAGTCCCAGCCACTCAGGAGGCTGAGCTGGAAGGATTGTTTGGACCCAGAAGGTTGAGGCTGCAGTGAGCTGTAATCATGCCACTGCACTCTGGCCTGGGCAACCAAGAAAGATCCTGTCTCAAAAAAATAAATAAAATAAACGATGTGGTTCATCACACTCAGTAAATGGTGGCTGTTATTAGCTACTATTAAGAAGGTGAGGCCAGGCACGGTGGCTCAAGCCTGTAATCCCAGCACTTTGGGAGGCCGAGGCGGGTGGATCACAAGGTCAAGAGATCGAGACCATCCTGGTCAACATGGTGAAACCCCGTCTCTACTAAAAATACAAAAAAATAGCTGGGCATGGTGATACATGCCTGTAATCCCAGCTACTCAGGAGGCTGAGGCAGGAGAATTGCCTGAACCCAGGAGGCGGAGGTTGCGGTGAGCCGAGATGGCGCCATTGCACTCCAGCCTGGGTAACGAGCGAAACTCCGCCTCAAAAAAAAAAAAAAAAAAACAAAATGAAACAAAAAAAAAAAAGAAGGTGAAAGAGACCGGGCATAGTGGCTCACATCTGTAATGCCAGCCCTTTGGGAGGCCGAGTCAGGCAGATCACTTGAGGTCAGGAGTTCGAGACACGCCTGGCCAACATGGTGAAACTCTGTCTCTACTAAAAATACAAAAACTAGCCAGGCATGGTGGCAGGCACCTATAATCCCAGCTACTTGGGTGGCTAAGGCAGGAGAATCATTTGAACCCGGGAGATGGAGGCTGCAGTCGCACCACTGCACTCCCGCACTGGTGGGAGACAGAGGGAGACTTCATTTCAAAAAAAAAAAAAAAGAAAAAAGGAAGGTGAAACATGGTCCTCTTTCCCAGACACTGTGCCCAGTTGCCCTGGCATGGAAAGGGGGCAGGTAGCAGGGCCACATACCTGCTTGGGGGGCTTGTGCCGATTATACTCCTCCCCCCAGAGCTTGGCCTCCATCTGTAGACGCACGTCCTCAAAGTACACATCCCGGTCCACAGGCTCGATGTAGCGTTTCGCCACGTAGTTGGAGGCTCCCTTCCACTGCTGGGCGTGCAGGAAGTTGGAGAGCTTCTTCCTGTGGGGAGAGGCAGTAGGGGGCCTACCTGGGCACTCTGGGATTCACCAGGGACACAGCTCTGGCCCTCAGGACAGCAAGACCCTGTCCAACCTGGTTGGTTGGCTGGCGGCAGGAAGAAAACGCAGGAGGTAGGAAGCACTTCCCCACCCCTCTACATCCTTCCAAGAGCTGGGATGGGGCGATGAAAGGTCACTGTTAAAGGTCTCCTATCTCGTTTCCCTTGACCTCCAACACTAGGGCAAAGATGAGTGGGGTGTTCCCTGTTCTGCCTGAGCCCGTCTTCCCAGCCAGGCCCAACATGTGGCCTGAGAGAGACCAGATGATGAGGAACCTGGGCTACAAGAAGGCAGAGGCCCCTGGCTCCATTCCTTGGCTGAAAATGTCCCAATGCCTCAGCTCTTAGGAGCCTGGGGAGACTCTGGGGAGAATCCCAAGAGCCAGGTCAAGTCACTTACGTCCGGAAGCACTCCCTCATCGCTCCTCGGCCGAAGGGCTGAAAGACACCGCACAGAGAGTTATCAGTATCAGTCCCCATGCCCCACCCAATAACGACCCTAAGTTAGGAGGCGCTCCCTTTGCACATCACCCATCAATGCCTGCCCTGGGCCTCATCTGAATCCTGAAATCCCCGGAGCTCTCCCTTCTATGTCTCAGCACCAAAGCCATAGAGGCCTTCCAACCTAGACGCTGCCAGAATGGCCAGGACACCCCCTCCATTTCTCCACCCCAGCTGAGGAAAAAAAAACCCACGGAGGCAGGATGCTGGGGGACGGACAGTGCATCTCAGAGGATGTTTTCACAGGCCCTGACTCTAAGAGAAAAACGGTGGAGACAACTTACATGTCCAGCAACAATATGCTGGAAAAATCAATCGGGTCTATTTCTTCAATGAAATACCACACAGCAATGAAAACCAATGCAAAACGTTGACCACAAGAACCCAGGAGCAGTGGCTTATGCCTGTAATCCCAGCACTTTGGGAGGCTGAGGCAAGAGGATCGCTTGAGAACAGGAGTTCAAGACCAGCCTGGAAAACACAGCGAGACCTTCCTCTCTACAAAAAAATTTTAAAACTTGGCTGGGTGTGATGGTGCATGCCTGTAGTCCCAGCTACTTGGGAGGCTAAGGTGGGAGAACTGCTTAAGCCCAGGAGTTCAAGGCTGCAGTGAGCCAAGATCATGCATGAGTACACCCCAGCCTGGGCAGCAGAGTAAGACACTGTTTCTAAAAAAATATACCTGTTGGCTGGGCACAGTGGCTCACGCCTATAATCCCAGCTCTTTGGGAAGCCAAGGCAGGCGGATCATGAGGTCAGGAGTTCGAGACCATCCTGGCTAACATGGTAAAACCCCCTCTCTACTAAAAATACAAAAAATTAGCCAGGCGTGGTGGCTTGTGCCTGTAATCCCAGCTACTCAGGAGGCTGAGACAGGCAAATCGCCTGAACCTGGAGCTTGCGGTGAGCTGAGATCGTGCCACTGCACTCCAGCCTGGGTGACAGAGTGAGACTACGTCTCAAAAAAAAAAAAAAGAATACCTGTTGTATGCCCCCACTTATATGAAGTTAAGAAATGGGCAAAAGTAATTTAGGGTGATAGAATTCAGAGTGGTGCTTACCCTGGGGGTATGGGAGGAGTGACCGAGAGGGGCCTGAGCAGGCTGGCTGCCTTGTTTGCTGATATGGGCACTGGTAAGGCAGTGTGCTCATTTTGTGAAAACTCACCAAGCTGTGCACTTTTGTGTGTATATTGTATATTACACTAAAACAAAGTTTCACAAAGCAATCTTTACTCTCAATATGCAGGAAATACCTATTTTCTAGTCTTTTTTTTTTTTTTTTTTTGAGACGGAGTTTTGCTCTTGTTACCCAGGCTGGAGTGCAATGGCGCCATCTCGGCTCACCGCAACCTCCGCCTCCTGGGTTCAGGCAATTCTCCTGCCTCAGCCTCCTGAGTAGCTGGGATTACAGGCACGCGCCACTATGTCCAGCTAATTTTTTGTATTTTTAGTAGAGACGGGGTTTCACCATGTTGACCAGGATGGTTTTGATCTCTTGACCTCGTGATCCACCCGCCTCGGCCTCCCGAAGTGCTGGGATTACAGGCTTGAGCCACCGTGCCTGGCCTTATTTTCTAGTCTTTTATCTTTTTTTTTTTTCTTCAAAAGGCTGGTTGTGGCTGGGTACAGTGGCTCATGCCTATAATCCCAGCATTTTGGGAGGGGGAGGCAGGAGGATCATTTGAGCCCAGGCGTTTGAGCAGCCTGGGCAACACAGTGAAACCAGTGTCTCTACAAAAAATGAAAAGATTAGCCAGGCGTGGTGGTGTGTACTTGTAGTCGCAGCTACTTGGGAGGCTAAGGTGAGAGGATGGCTTGAGCCCAGGTCAAGGCTGCAGTGAGCTGTGATCGCGTCACTGCACTCTAGCCTGGGCGATAGAGTGAGACCCTGTCTTAAAAAAAAAAAATGCTGGTTGCAACCAATAAATCAACAGTAACAAAGAATCCCCCAAAGTTACAAAAATTAAATAAAGTACGAGTGGGAGGGAGGGGCACACAGACCAAAGTCAGCTACAGAAAGTCCCTGCTCAGCCCTGTCCCCACCGGGCTCAAGGCCCTGCTCACCTGAGACGCCATCTTGATCAGAACTTCATCGTCCACCCATTCCCCGGTGACTGCGTTGTACCTGCAGAGACCCGCCCACCCCAGGGCACAGCATCCGTCACATGGTCCTGTTCTTTATGGGCTAAAGGCCAAAGACCCTTCTGGGCCCCCCACTGGCTTTAGAACCAGCCCACCCACCACCACAGCCTGCGGCCCAGCCAGCCTCCTAGGATGGGTCATAGACATTGTTCCTCTCCCAAGTCTCAACACACTGGTCTCTGTCCCTTTCCTCAAACCCACTGTTCCCTCTCCACCATGTCCCCCATTTCCATATCCCCAGCACTCATTGCTGTGCTGTTTGCTGGCTTGTTCCACATCTGGGGCCCCCACTGGACTGTAACCCCACAAAAGCAGACCCATGTCTTAGTCACCCAGAACCTGGTGTGTGTGGATGCTTAATAAATAACCTGGTGCGTGTGGATGAATGACTGAATAAATGACATCCTTTTTTTTTTTTTTTTTTTTGAGATGGAGTTTCATTCCTGTTGCCCAGGCTAGAGTACAAATGGCATGATCTCGGCTCACTGCAACCTCCGCCTCCTGGGTTCAGGTGATTCTCTAGCCTCAGCCTCCCAAGTAGCTGGGATTACAGGCATGTGCCACCCACCACACCCAGCTAATTTTGTATTTTTAGTAGAGACAGGGTTTTGGCATTTTGGCCAGCCTGGTCTCAAACTTCTGACCTCAAGTGATCTGCCTGCCTTGGCCTTCCAAAGTGCTGGGATTACAGGTGTGAGCCACCACGCCTAGTCTTCTGTACCCTTTGTAACATCTTTTATTTTTATTTTTATTTATTTTATTTTTTTTGAGATGGAGTTTCACTCTTGTTACCCAGGCTGGAGTGCAATGGTGCGATCTCAGCTCACTGCAGCCTCCGCCTCCTGGGTTCAGGCAATTCTCCTGCCTCAGCCTCCTGAGTAGCTGGGATTACAGGCACACGCCACCATGCCCAGCTAATTTTTGTATTTTTAGTAGAGACGGGGTTTCACCATGTTGACCAGGATGGTCTCGATCTCTTGACCTCGTGATCCACCCGCTTTGGCCTCCCAAAGTTCTGGGATTACAGGCGTGAGCCACGGCGCCCGGCAACATCCTTTATATTAACCAGTAAATGGTAGTAAGTGTTTCCCTGAGTTCTGTGAGCTGCTCCACCAAGTAAATTGAACCTGGAGCGGGTCACGGGAACCCTGATTTACAGCTGGTCAGAAACACAGGTGAAACCACCTAGGGCTTGCAATCAGCAGTGGAAGTGGGGGATGGTCTTGTAGGACTGACTGAGCCCTCAATCTGTGGGATGTGATGCTATCTCCCTGTAGATGGGTGTCAGAATTGAATTGAATCAGGCTGTGCTCAGTGGCTCACGCCTGTAATCTCAGCACTTTGGGAGGCTGAGGCGGGCTGATCACCTGAGGTCAGGAGTTCGAGACCAGCCTGATCAACATGGAGAAACCCCATCTCTACTAAAAAAACCCACAAAATTAGCCTGGCATAGTGGTACATGCCTGTAATCTCAGCTACTTGGGAGGCTGAGGCAGGAGAATCGCTTGAACCTGGGAGGTGGAGGTTACGGTGAGCTGAGAAAGCCCTATTGCACTCCAGCCTGGGTGAAAAGAGTGAAACTTGTTTCAAAAAAAAAAAAGAATTGAATTAAATCAGAATACCCAATTCGAAATTCCACTAATTCCTTCAATTAGAGGAACCGAATTAGAGGCACATCTGCTAGTGTCTACTGCAGATTTGATTACTCGCTTGTGGGCGGGGAGAAGCCCCCACACATTTTAAGCTCACAGAAGCATTCTGGGTTATAGGAGTACAGTAGGTGAAATTAAGTTTGGTTTTTCCACAGATTGGTTCATACCTCAGGCAGAGAGAGCTTGGAGAGGGTTCTGGGAACATTTCCATCTCTCCTTTCACAGAGCAAATCAGCCCCTAGGCCTGGCCCGGCCACACACAAGTCTGCCTGGTGAAAAATGCCTCGGCTCAATGGATCCCTAAAGTCTGAAACCTCCCTCCGGGCTGAGGTGTTCTTAGCTCTAGTTGGAGGCCTCCCTGGGTCCACCCCTAAGCTGGGGCAGAACTCCAGAACACGCTCCCCCGCCCCACCGCTGCTGCCCCTGCTCCGTGAGAACAGAGCCTGATGCCTCTACCAGGAAAAACAAGCAGAGGCTTGGCGGGTTAACCTCCTCGGGGCTCAGAGGGAGGAAAGCTCTTCAGAGCTGCACACTTGGCACCAGGAAGTACAGTTGATGCTTTAATAACATGGGTTTAAAGTGTGTGGGTCTGCTTATAAGTGGACTTTCTTCAATCCATATATTGGAAAATGTGTTAGAGATTTGCCACAATTTTATTTTTGAGATGGAGACTCACTCTGATGCCCAGGCTGGAGTGCAGTAGCCCTGTATCAGCTCACTGAAACCTCTGCTTCCTGGGTTCAAGTGATTCTCCTACCTCAGCTTCCTGAGTAGCTGGGATTACAGGCACCCGCCACCACACCTGGCTAATTTTTCTATTTTTAGTAAAGACGGGGTTTCGCAATGTTGGCCAGGCTGGTCTTGAACTCCTGACCTCAAGTGATCTGTCCACCTCAGCCTCCCCAAGTGCTGGGATTACGGGTGAGAGTCACCACACCTAGCCAGAGATTTGTAACAATTTAGAAAAACTAGCTCAGTCTAATAGGTACCTTGTTAGAACCACAGGAAGGATTCAGTGAGGTAATGCACCACACCTTAAGCATACATTAGCCCTCCAATATTAGCTGCTCTTATGATTACTCCCTTCTCCTGACCCCCAAGAGTACTTAGGCCTCACTGATTGGGGACAGACGCTGGAAGTCCAGCCCCCAGGACTCCTTGAGACCCCAGACAAGCTGCTCACCTGTGTCGCGTAGCACGTTCGGTGGCAATGTCTTCGAGGTGGAATTCAGCCCAGGGGTCCGGCATGTGCTTGGCCTTCTCGATCGCGTGCTTCCAGGCTTCCTGTGGAAGACAAAGGGGAAGGTAGGAACATGTGGCCCAGGTCAGGGGCTTTGGGGACAGCGCAGCCTCCTCCACCCCGTTATTTCCTCTGGAGAGGCAGACAGTATCAGGGCAGACAGAGACTCCTGTCTAGTAGCCTATCAAGAACCCAGTCCCCAAGAGAGCCTATCTGCTCTCATGGGCACAGCCTCCCGGTGGGCAGAAATGGCACATCTTAACTATACAACACTTGGAATCAAAGAGTTGAAAATTAAAATAAGATACCATTCTCCCATTCAGGCTGGCAAACATTTCATCATTTTACACACACACACACACACACACACACACACACACACAGACACACACACAAATATATAAACAGTCTCATTCTGTCACCCAGGCTGGAGAGGAGTGGTGTGATCTTGACTCATTGCAATCTCCACCTCCCGGGTTCAAGTGATTCTTATGCCTCAGCCTCCCAAGTAGCTGAGCTTCCTGGCTACTTTTTGCATTTTTTTTGGTAGAGAAAGGGTTTCACCATGTTGGCTGGTCTTGAACTCCTGACCTCAAGTGATCCACCTGCCTTGCCTCCCAAAGTGCTGAAATTACAAGCACGAGCCACCATGCCCAGTGTTTTTTGTTTGTTTGTTTGTTTGTTTTTGAGACAGGGTCTCTCTCTGTTGCCCAAGCTGGAGTGCAGTGGTGCAATTTTGGCTCACTGCAACCTCTGCCTCCCAGATTCAAGTGATTCTCCCACCTCAGCCTTCTGAGTAGCTGGAACTACAGGTACACACCACCATACCTGGATAATTTTGTACTTTTTGGTAGAGATGGAGTATCGACATGTTGGCCAGGCTGGTGTTGAACTTCTGACCTCAAGTGATCCATCCATCTCGGCCTCCCAAAGTGTTGGGATTACAGTAGGTTGGCAATTGTTTAAATGAGATGAAACATTTTAGCAAGTGCTGGCCTGGATATCAGGGAAAGGGTATCCTCACACACCATCAGGGGATATAAAACTTTTCTAGGTGGGGCGTGGTGGCTCACACCTGTAATCCCACCATTTTGGGAGGCCGAGGCAGGTGGATCACCTGAGGTCAAAAGTTAGAGATCATCCTGGCCAGCATGGTGAAACCCCATCTCCACTAAAAAAATACAAAAATTAGCCAGGTGTGGTGGCAGCTACCTGTAATCCCAGCTACCTGGGAGGCTGAGGCAGGAGAACTGCTTGAACCCAGGAGGTGGAGGTTGCAGGGAGCCGAGATCGTGCCACTGCACTCCAGCCTGGGTGACAGAATAAGACTCCGTCTCAAAAACAAAAAAAAAAAGAAAAAAAGAAAGAAAAAGAGCAGTTGGACCACACCACACATTCTGTTGTGCATCTGACTTTTTTCTTCTTCTTTTTTTTTTTTTTTGAGACGCAGTTTCGCTCTTGTTACCCAGGCTGGAGTACAATGGCACGATCTCGGCTCACCGCAACCTTTGCCTCCTGGGTTCAGGCAATTCTCCTGCCTCAGCCTCCTGAGTAGCTGGGATTACAGGCACGTGCCACCATGCCCAGCTAACTTTTTGTATCTTTAGTAGAGACGGGGTTTCACCATGTTGACCAGGATGGTCTCGATCTCTCGACCTCGTGATCCACCCGCCTCGGCTTCCCAAAGTGCTGGGATTACAGGCTTGAGCCACCGCGCCCGGCCCTGACTTTTTTCTTCTTAATGCAAGATCTGGGACATCTTTCCATGTCATATGTGCTCTGAGTGACCTCATTTCATTTCTAGAACTGCCAGATATACAATTATATAAATGTACCTTATTTGTCTAACTTCTAGTTGAATAATATTTGGATTCTCTCCAACATTTCCTAGTACAAACAGTGCTGAAGTAAACATCTTCCTATCCAATCTTTCTGTGAGTGGAAGATCTTAGTAGGACTTTTTTTTTTTTTTTTGTAAATGTAACTGCTGGATTACATTTAAAATCTAGAAATGAGGCCGGGCGCGGTGGCTCAAGCCTGTAATCCCAGCACTTTGGGAGGCCGAGGCAGGTGGATCACGAGGTCGAGAGATCGAGACCATCCCGGTCAACATAGTGAAACCCCGTCTCTACTAAAAAATACAAAAAATTAGCTGGGCATGGTGGCGTGTGCCTGTAATCCCAGCTACTCAGGAGGCTGAGGCAGGAGAATTGCCTGAACCCAGGAGGCGGAGGTTGCGGTGAGCCAAGATCGCGCCATTGCACTCCAGCCTGGGTAACAAGAGCGAAACTCCGTCTCAAAAAAAAAAAAAAAAAAAAAAAATACAACTCAGAGATAGCCCAACTGCTCCTGAAGAGCAGTAGTGGGCTTTACCAAAGTCAAGGGCTGGAATAAAAGCAGCAGGAAGAGGTGGGGGAACAAGGCGAGGCTCTAGGACAGGAACAGGGCAACAGTGGTGTGTGGTGACCACAGTCTACGCCACATGCACTCAGAGGTTTGGTACAATTATCAGTGGAACCTGGCATGGAATATAGCAGCAAAAATCTGGAAACCAGGCACAGTGGTCATGCCTGTGATCCCAGCAAATTGAGGAGCCAAGGCCAGAGGATCACTTGACACTTGGAGTTCTAGACCAGCCTGGGCAGCATAGCAAGACCCCATCTCTATGAAAAAATGCAAAAATTAGCCAGGCGTGGTGGCACATGCCTTTAGTCCCAACTACTCCGGAAGCTAGGATGGGAGGATCACTTGAGCTCAGGAGGTCAAGGCTACAGTGATTGTGCCACTGCACTCCAGCCCGGGCAACAGCATGAGACCCTATCTCTTAAAATACAAACAAACTGGCCGGATGTGGTGGCTCATGCCTGTAATCCCAGCACTTTGGGAGGCCAAGGCAGAGGGATCACGAGGTCAAGAGATCAAGACCATCCTGGCCAACATGGTGAAACCCTGTCTCTATTAAAAATACAAAAATTAGCTGGGTGTGGTGGCGTGCGCAAGTGGTCCCAGCTACTCGGGAGGCTGAGGCAGGAGAATTGCTTGAACCCGGGGGGCGGAGGTTACAGTGAGCGTAGGTCACGCCCCTGCATTCCAGCCTGCCTCCTGGTGATGGAGTGAGACTCTGTCTCAAAAAAATAAATAAAAATAAAAAGGTGATCTATGTGTATTGATGTGGAATGATCTCTGAGACAGTCTCAGATCAGGAAAATATTTTTGAGGGGGGGCAGGCGAGAGGGTCTTGCTCTGTTACCCAGCCTGGAGTGCAGTGGTGCAGTCTTTCACTGCAACCTCTGCCTCCCAGGTTCAAGTGATTCTCCTGCCTCAGCCTCCCAGAGTAGCTGGGATTACAAGTGCATACCACCATGCTTGGCTAAGTTTTTTTTGTATTTTTAGTAGAGACGGGGTTTCACCATGTTGGCTAGGCTGGTCTCAAACTCATGACCTCAGGTGATCTACCCACCTCGGCCTCCCAAAGCGCTGGGATTATAGGCATGAGCCACTGCACCCAGCTGAAAAATTTTAAAAATAAAATTTCCTGGCTGGGCTCGATGGCTCTCATCTGTAATCCCAGCACTTTGGGAGCCCGAGGCGGGTGGATCATGAGGTCAAGAGATCGAGACCATCCTAGTCAACATGGTGAAACCCCGTCCCTACTAAAAATACAAAAAACTAGCTGGGCGCAGTGGCGCGTGCCTGTAATCCCAGCTACTTAGGAGGCTGAGGCAGGAGAATTGCCTGAGCCCAGGAGGCGGAGGTTGCGGTGAGCCGAGATCGCGCCATTGCACTCCAGCCTGGGTAACAAGAGCGAAACTCCGTCTCAAAAAAAAGAAGTAAAAAAAAAAAAAAAAAGAAAAAAAAAGAAATCGAGACCATCCTGGTCAACAAGGTGAAACCCTGTCTCTACTAAAAATACAAAAAATTAGCTGGGCATGGTGGTGCGTGCCTATAATCCCAGCTACTCAGGAGGCTGAGGCAGGAGAATTGCCTGAACCCGGGAGGTGGAGGTTGCGGTGAGCCAAGATCGCGCCATTGCACTCCAGCCTGGGTAACAAGAGCGAAACTCCGTCTCAAAAAAAAACAAAAAACAACAAAAAAAAAAACCATGTATTTGCTCCCTACGCTTATTCTAGAAAATGTAGAAATGACAGAGAAGGAGAAACTGAACACAGTCCCCCCTAATCCCATGCAAAGGCAATCCCTGCTGGCCTGGTGATGTGCTTCCCCTCAGGCCCTGGCTGTGTGTGTACGTGCAAGTTTTGCAGAGTTACAGTCATACTGTATTCTCTTTAGATTTAACTCGGAAGCACAGGCACTTTCCCACGTTATCATAAACTCTATAAACATCTTTGGATGACTGCCTGATATTCTATGGAGAGGGCGGCCCCTTGAATGGTTCTGTCACATCTCCAGGATAGCTTGGGCAGAAGGCTGCGCTTGGCAGTGACACAACCTGATGTTTTGCAATCCACACCCAGTACCTACCGGGTGTGTTCCTTGGAGGGAGGCCAGCGGGCCATTTTGGTTCAACAATCCGGGTTGCCAGTTCACAGTAAGTTAAAAAAAAAAAAAACTTAGGTTTACAGAGTGCTGGGGGAACAAGGGTTGGAAAACAGCTGTTCTCTCCCTCCGGAGCCACCCTTGGCAACACTAACCCAGCAGAGCCTGCTTTCGATAACCTAGAAAGTGGGCAATGAGGCCAGGCGCGGTGGCTCACACCTGTAATCCCAGCACTTTGGGAGGCCAAGGCAGGTGGATTTTAAGGTCAAGAGATGGAGATTATCCTGGCCAACACAGTGAAACCCCGTCTCTACTAAAAATACAAAAATTAGCTGGGCATGGTGGCGCACGCCTGTAGTCCCAGCTACTAGATAGGCTGAGGCAGGAGAATCATTTGAACCCAGGAGGCGGAGGTTGCAGTGAGCTGAGATCACACCACTGCACTCCAGCCTGGGCAACAGAGTGAGACTCTGTCTCAAAAAAAAAAAAAAAAAAAAGTGAGCAATGAAGTGCCAACTGCTGTCCACACACAGTCAAACATTTTACC